TGTCCCAGCTTGGCTTCTTTATCAGAGCTGCGTATCCAAGTGGTTAAAGTATACACAGCAAGTAATCCTTTTAAATGGGGCTCCTGACAGCCAACACAAGAGAGACAGAGGGATAGATGTCACATCCTACAAGCAAAGGACAAAGCTGCCAATTTCCAATGCATGGGAGTCCGGCTTTATCTCACACCTAACTTTAAGGAAACTCTGGTTTTTATGTGCACCTGTGAAGGAAGTGTGAGCAGGGACCATTTAGGAAATCTGAACAAGGGCATGTTCATGACAATCGATGCAGGACTGTATGAAGGGACAACAGGACAAGCAACCCATCAGGGTCCCAGCTCAGCACTCTCTCCCCATGGTGGCTGGAAACAGACCTCCGTACCTGAGCGCTGAGGCTGCCTGCATAAGCCATTCAGTTCAGTTCAGTAGCTCAAGTCGTGTCCGACTCTTTGCGACCCCACGAATTGCAGCACGCCAGGCCTCCCTGTCCATCACCAACTCCCAGAGTCCACTCAAACTCATGCCCATCGAGTCGGTGATGCCATCCAGCCATCTCATCCTCTGTCATCCCCTTCTCCTCCCACCCCCAATCCCTCCCAGCATCAGGGTCTTTTCCAATGAGTCAACTCTTCGCATGAGGTGGCCAAAGTATTGGAGTTTCAGCTTCAATATCAGTCCTTCCAATGAACACCCAGGACAGATCTCCTGACATCTGCCATCCCCAACCCCCACCTCCTCTGCATTCTAGGACAACAAATGCATTGCCAGTACGCCCCGGGGCCCAGCCTGGCCCAATCATGTTCCCTAAAAGCTGCTCCCGGGCTCTCACTGCAGTTTTGTCAGGAGGAGTATAACTTCTAACCAGTGCATACAACCAGTCGTGCCAGCCTCAGCACCAGCTCTCATTCACCTGTTCTGAGTGATGGATGGACAACATGCCTCTCGGCCTCCTTATCCAGGCCTCTGACTGTGACTTCACTTTCAAAAAAGTGTACTAACCCTTGTGTACTGATGCAGGGAATGTAAATTGGTGCAGATACTATGGAAATTCCTCAAAAAATTAAGAACAGAATTACTATATGATCTAGCAATTCTGCATCTGGGTATTTATCCAAAACAATGAAATCACTATCTTGAAGAGCTCTCTGTACCTCTACATTCACTGTAGCATTATTTACAACAACCAAGGTACAGTGACAACCTCAGTGTCCGAGGGCTGATAAACCAGTAATGAAGATGTGTGTGTGCGTGTGGGTGTGTGTGTATATATGTATATATATGAGCGACTGAACTGAACTGAAATGGAATACTGTTCAGCCATAAGTGGGAGTTCCTGCTCTTTGCAAGAATGTAGATGGACTGTGAGGGCATTATGCTTAGTGAGATAAGTCAGAGAAAAACAAATGCTGTGTGATCTCACTTACATGTGGAATCTAAAAACACCTAAACTCACAGATACAGAAGAGACTGGTGGTTCCCAGAGGCAGGGGTCGGGTGTGGGTGGTATGGTGAAGGAGGTCGAAAGACCCAAACTTCCAGTTATAAAACCAATATGTCCCGGGAATGAAATATTCTGCATGGGGACTGGTTAACACTGCTGTGTTGTGTACATGAAAGTTGCTGAGAGAGTAGACCTTACAGGTTTTCATCCAGAGAAAAAAAAAATTTCAGTATGTGAGGTGATGGATGTTAACTAGACCAACTGGTGATCGATTTGTAATGTGTCCAAATATCAAGCTGTTGTTTGGGTGGCCAGGAATCAGAAGTAAGGGGTTGGAAGGTGATCCAGGCAGAGGGCACTGGGTTCTGAAGGGGCAGGAAGAGGAGAGGGGCACAGGGACGTCTCCTACCTACCTCCTGAGCTGCTTCCACCACGGAGCCTGGGCTGGGAGGACAAGCCAAGGGCCCTGGGAGCCTGCAGGGCTGAGTTCGGGACTCTGAGGGGCCGTGCATACTGTTGCTGCTGTTTTGATGGGCTTGTGTCCCTCGAAACCTAGGAAGTGAGGCCTGACTTCCCGAAAACAAATCCCTTTGGGGTGGGGGCTCTAGGCAGCAGCTGAGCTCATGCCCCACCCCTGGATGCCCCTCCCAAGATGCCCCTGTCCTGCCTCTAGGGCTCCCAGACACCACTTCCTCCCACCTGGCACCCAGCTGACTCCTAATCTGTGGGGTCAAGCCTTCCTCCATCCAGGCTACCCCAGCGCTTCACTGCAGGGATCGGGACTGACAGTCAGTTCCTGCGGGTTGGGCCCTCTCAGCTCTAGACTGTCAGCCAGACCAGCAGAGGCTGGGAGAGCACTTTCCGGCACCAGGGCCCTGCAGGGTCCTCCTCTGTGCTCCCTGCCCCACTCCAAGGGGCCACTGTGGGAGGCCAGGGAGTGGAGGCAGAGGGCGAGTGGCTGATTGGAAGCGGCCACCATCCCATCCATAGAGAAAGGTCTGGGCCTGGGCGGGGGTGGACTAGCTCCCAACCTCCAAGGTGCTTTCCCACCAAGATAGTCGAGGCTCTGGACCTTGAAGGACAGGCAGCAGAGTCAGGAGAGAGTACAGTAGTGCAGATCCTGCTAGTGGAGAGGGGGAGGAGAGCTGCCGGCCCTGGAGCGGGCAAAGCTCCAGCCAACAACCAACATTAACCAGGGAGGCCTCCACCCCGGGAACCAGAGCAGAGTCACTTCCACAGGACTGCCTGGTGCCTGAGAATGCTCCACAGGGACCCTCTGGGTCCCATGGCCTGGCTGTGGTCAGAATAGACTCCAGGGAAGAGCCCAGTGACACCAGTGGGCTCCTACTTGTTCCGACAAGTCTTTTCATCCCTCACCCTCCCACCCAGCTTCTCCAGCAGCAGAAGTGAGCTTCCTCCCACCACCCCACCCCAGGGCCCCTGGGAGATGCTGGAGGAGCGGCTGTCCTCAGCCTGGACAAAGAGCTCAGGGCAGAAGGCCCTGTTCTGCTGACCACTCCTTCCAGACCTGCAGCAGAGGAGGGAGTGGAGGTTGTTGGGGGCGGGGACGCTGGGGGGTGTTGAGACATGGCAGCCTGGCCCCATTGGATGCCCACTAGTCGGGGGGCCTTCAGGGGCTTTAACGGGGGAGTCCTGCCCCAAGGGTGTGCATCTGCTTATTAAGTGGGAAAGAGATCCTCTTCCACACAGAAGGAGAAATAGCACCTGACTTTAGCCCTGCCACTTCCTCCCTGCTCCCCCTCCTTCTCGCCAAGGACATGGTCACCACCAACAGGTCTCATCCTTGTTTACCTCTGCAACCCTCCCTAGGAGGGTGAAGACACCTGGCTCTTCTGGAGACTTTTTCCAGACATCTCTCCACTGGAAAACCTGGCAGCCCAGGCTACTCTCCAGAACTTTCAGGAACGGAGATGGAGGCCTTCTGGGAGGTCCCCTCCAGCTGACTGTGGAAGGCCTAGCATCATCCAGCCTCACGCTCTCCTGGTGGTGGCCCCTCGAAACGTCCTGGGATGCTGTCTCTGCAGAGCAATAAACTAAGTTCTGGGATGAAACAGATTTGGGCCCGCATTTAAAATCATCACAAGTAAACTGCAACTCTGTGGGCTTGGCAGACTGCGTGAGGTAGCCCTGGGCTGGAGGGACCAGCTCCTCTGTCCTCCTGGGTCTCCAACCTTCCGAGGAGAACGTCAAGTCATGCCAGGTGAGGCATATGCAAGATGCAGGCGCCTCAGCCCTTTGGGGCCTTTGGGAACTAGTCTCCAGGAATCAGGTCATGCACTGCTGGGGTAAGGTCCTTGGCTTGGATCCCATCCAGCCCAGTCCCACCCCAGAACCAGCACCCGGCTCTGAGAGGCAGCGTGGGGATGGGGTGGTGTGCGCGCCGGCCACTGTCTCCCTCTGCGTCTTCCTGCGAGCAGGTGCCCCCTCACATCCACAGCATCTGGGGCTCCACTGCCAGATGAAGTACCAGCTGCCAGGCAACCTCAGGGAGGGGACATGGGAGGTGGGGATGCCACCAACCACCACCTGCCAAGCCTGCAGCCACAGGCCGTCTGGGAGCCATGCTGGAGGCCCGTGTGTCCTGCCCTGGCCCAGCTACCAGGACGGATGGCTTCCTCCCTCCTCACTGAGCGTCCCATGGGGAGAGTCTTTTGATCAGAGAGACAGCCTGCGTGTGCTTCCCACTTCCCACTGCAGCTCCTATGACAGGGCTGTGGCCACCAGGCTCTGGATAGACTCGGAGCCACAGATGAGGTGGGTTCTCACAGGGAACGGTAGCAGCTCCAGGCGGCTTGCCCTCCGCTGTCACCCTGAAGCCACCACCGCCTGCTGCCACGTGGGTACCTGTGAACCGCAGCCAACCCTGCCCATCTCCAGTTCTAATCAAGGGCCCCAAGGAACCAAAGGGGGTCAGCACGGCCCCTCCCCTGCAGGCACCGGCCCAACCCAGACCTCCTGCCCAGAACGTCAGGTCACGCTCTGATTCTTTTCTGCTCGATGCCCACACGGTGCCAGGGGCTCCGGGAAGTAGCTGCCTTGCTCAGTGCTGACCCACCCACTGCCACTGCCAAGGGCAGCCTGTGCCCTGGGGATCTGCTCTGGGATGAAGGAGGTGCCACACCCCTGCAGTCAGCACACCAAGGAGCGCACAGGGGCCAGGACGTCAGGCCTCTCTCAGCCCCTGCACCCGGAATGCACTTGGGGAGGTCAACACATCTCACCGACTTAGGCCTGGAGGCTGCAGACCCTCCTGGCACCAGGTTGCGGGCCTCAGGGTCACCCTGACAAGGAGGACACTCTGCTGGCCCCGCTCTGAAGGGCAGCCTCATACCCCCTGGTCGCTCCACACACCTGCTCAAGTGGTTTCAGTGGGCGACTGAGACAGAATAATATGAACAAAAATAAAGCTGGCTGAAAAGGCACAAAAGTGCACTCTTCAAACCCACAGGCACGCTGCCATGTGTGGACACCACCCCTGAAGGGCGGTGCCCAGGGTCCTATCAACTTCAGGAGAGTGAGTTAAGACATACACTCTGTGTTTCTTTTAGAAACTTTTATTGCGCATAAAATGGCCCATTCCCCTTTGTAGGTCAGTTGTTTCCACCTCTAAAGTTGTTTTCTGTAAACTCCACTTTCTGCCCTACTGAAGAAAATCCTGCTCTTTGAAAAGATCGGGAATAGCCTCTCATTGCTGGTCAGGGCAGCTGGAGGATGGCTCCTGGGGCGAAGGCTGGAAGACGCCATCTGAGCAGGCTGAGCCTTCGGCTGTGGCGTGGGCTCACTCACACCCAGCGCTGCAGAGGGAGACTTCCTGCGGCCCTGCCCTCGTGGGGATGTGACAGGAGCTGAGCATCCCCAGAGCTGGAAACTGCAGCAGCCTATCAGCAGGCACTACGACAACCTGCACACTAGTGGTTATGAAATGGAGCGTTCAGAAAAAGTGCTCTACTGGAACCTGAAGTCGCAGCACCGCGGAAGGGAGCTGGGGAGCATTTCTGAGCTTCTCTGCAGCTCCAGGCCTTCCTCATGTCGGCAGGCACGGTGCGCTTCCATGGGGCAGTGCCGCGTCCCTCCTGGCTACTTCATAAACGCGTCCTCGTCCTGGGTGGACGGGCTCGCAGGCGGGCCTGGCAGTCACGGTGCACCAGGTGGTGGGTGGGAAGGGTTGGCAAAGGCCACACAGGCGATGAATCCTGTCCCAAGCCCAGTTTTATCGGAAGGCTGGGGTTTAAAGATGGAATCTAGAACACCCTCTGCTCCCCTGTTAAGAAAGGAGAACAGAAATAGAGGCTCTGCCTCAACAAGCAGGAAGTGAGGGTCAGAGCCACGAGCCCCCTGGATTCCAGGGGGTGACAGACGACAGCTTTGGGACAGACTCAAGAAGACAGTTCTCTGTTCCTTTGCAGTGAGAATGAATGTGTTCAAGTTGAGGCACGATGTGGTTCCCCAAGAACGTTCTGAGGCTGGTGTGGATGTCCCTCATCCTGCCCCTACAGCCTCCCTTTCCAGCGTGTGGTCCTGCTCCACCAGGCGGGCTGGAGGGTCTCGGGACCGGCCTGGCACCGACTGAGCTCCTCTGCAGACGGGCACGGCCACTGCAGATTCTGGGAGCTGGACACGGTCAGCCTCTGGCTGAACCACGGCCCTAGAGTGCCTCCCCATGAAGAGGCGTGAGCAGAGGGCTGGGCAGAAGCTGCCGTGTGTGTGTGTGTGTGTGTGTGTGTGTGTGTGTGTGTGTGTGTGTGTGTGTGTGTGTGTGTGACTTCCCGACCAGAGTCCAGTCTGCGTGCTGTCACCACAGCTCCGGATGCTGGGTCCGGGCCTCACCAAGCAGGGTCCCTCACGCTGGTGCCACGGCCTAAACCGTCTTCAGTCAACGTGGGAGATGAGACCTTGGCTCCAAAACGGAGAAAAACACAGGTCCTATGGACCCGGGATTTCAACAGGGAGGATTCTGAGCAGTACCTGGCCCGCGGCCTGGCCTCCAGCAGCTCAAGTACATCCTTGATGAGTGAGCGGTGCAGACGTGGACACCTGGGGCCAGGCACAGGGGATGGGAGCAGCGCATTGGGGCCCACACAGGGTCTCTCTGACAGGAGGGCTCCGGTCAGCCCCAGGAAGAAGGGGGTGATAAATGGAGGGCAGCACAGTCAGTTGGGACCCAGCTCCATGCCCCGACTGGGGTGCCAGGGCATCAGGGTCCCAGTAAAGATACAAAAGTGAAGCTGCTTCTCTTCAAGTATAAAAAAATAAGTTAATTGACAAAGAGGGTCCCCAGAGGCTGCATCTCCCAGGCTGTCAGCCTTGTTTGGTGCAAGCACAGGAACCAGGCATGGAGGACGGCCTCCCACCCGCCGCGAGGCGTCCATGACAAGGCCAGCCTGCTGGCGGGGCCAGAACTCGGGGCCCTGCCTGACCCCAAAGTCAGTATTTTCCAGTGTTATGAATTAAAAGCAAATGCAGCAGCCGCAGGGCACAGCCAGGAGAGGCCTGGGGTGTGGGCTGGGCTTCTCATCCACTTCTGCATGGTGCCAGGGGAGCGTGGTCACTGGGTCCTCCCAGACACCTTTCCTGGGCACGCCCCTACACTCTCGCCCTCTGGAGTTGGCGGGCAGGGGGCTTCCTCCAAGGAGGCTGAGCCGCTGGACAACCAGCTTCACCCAGGGCTCCCCATAACCCAGATGCCTGAACCCTTCTCAGAGCCACATGGACCTGAGCGCAAACTCCCCGGAGGCGCCAGGCCCACTCAGACCTGGGGTCCGGGAGGGGGATCTGGGGGAAGCAGCCTGGCTCAGGCAGTGCACAGACCAGCCAGGGCTGGGCGGGCGCTCAGGACCAGTGCAGGCTGAAGCCCTTGGACAGCATGGCGGCCTCCAGGTCCTTGTCCTCCTCCTTCTCGCGCAACCGCTGTTCCTCCAGCAGGGCCACCAACGCGTCTCTCTGCTCCACCACCTCCAGCATCTCATTCAGGATCCTCTTCTCCTCTGCCAGCTCCTCCTCCGTCTTCAGGTGGTCTGGGCAGAACCACACAGGTGAGTCCCCTGCAGGGCGGAGGCAGGGAGCCTGCCCCAACCGCCCCCGTGCCCGCCCTGCCCCACCCCGCCTACCTTCCACTGCCATCCGCTCGCGGAGCTCCTGCTGCAGCCGGCTCTGCCGGTCCTCCAGCTCCAGCTCCCGAGCACTGGGGTTTCCGGGGGTTTGGGGGGAAAGGGAAACAAGGAGGTGACTGGTGGGGGTGGCACAGCCCTCATCCCCCACACTAGGAGGGGCTATGCTTCTGTTGCAACAGGCCCTGGGCCCACACCCCCTTCCACCCCTGCCCAGGGAACTCACAAGATCATCAGCTCTGACTCGTAGCGCACCATGGCATTCTTCTCCTGCACCAGCTTGAACCACTCCTGCATCAGCTTGGGGTCGTCCTTCTTGCCCATGCCTGCCGAGAGAGGGCATGTCAGGCCACAGTGCCGCCATCTCCTGCCAAGGACTGTCACACGGGGACAAATGCGAAGGGCTGCCTGCTGTGCCCAGGCCAGGCCATGTGTCTTGGGCCACAAGGGCCCCCCCAGGGCAGCCTGCGCCTTCCTCTGTCCCCCTCGGCCGGCCCTCACCCCCCAGTGGCTCGCCTGGCCCCTCCTGCTGGACCGCTTGCTTTCTCTGGGGAGGTTCTCAGTGCTCTGCCCTCCTTTTCTTTTCCATTCATTTCACATATATTTGGGACTTGCTGGGTCCTAGGTCTATTTTGAGGGGACCAGTCTAATGAAGAGGCAGATGGCAGACTAGAAGCACACTTGCCCTTGCTTTCCAGGACCCTTGAATGAGGGGGCCAGCATTTCGCTGTGGCCGCTGACCCGAGGCTGCCTCATTTCTGACATCTTGACCAGGGAGGTGCCTCTCTCAATCTTGTGACCCCTAGGGCTCCTGACAAGTGCTCCCCACAACCCCTGCATGGCAGCACAGCCCCAGGAGGCGTGGGGGTCTCTCCCAGGGCAGGGAGACTGCAGGTTCCCCCCTCTGATCCAAGCCCAGCTGCAGCTTCCGGGGTCCCTGCTGCCCACACTCAGATGCCCGCACCCCCTCGGCCGACACCTCGGTCTCAACCAGCAGTGGCCTGACCCCCTTCAGGCTCAGCTGCGGCAGGGGGAGAGAAGGAAGAGCCTTCCAAGAAGCCATACCACGGAGGGGACACCAGGAAGCCCACGTCTGTGGTGGGTCCCGCCCAGGTGCAGAAACCAGACTGTGGTGGCTCTTGGCTGTTTTCAGATTACAAGCCGCCCTCAGTCTCAGGGAAGCTGCACGTGAGCACAGCTGGTACCTCTGCCAAGGACACCACGTGCTCATGGGCCCTGAAGTCTGCTCACAGCTGAGCTAAGAGATCTCTCCAAGCTCTGGGGGCATGGGTCGGAAGTCCTCTCCCAGGAAGATCAAACCCAGAGGGCAGGGCACGTCTGCACTGCACCGCCCTGGGCCCTGGCCGCTGTGCAGCACGGGCTGAGTGCTGGGCCAGCTCTCCCTGCCCGCCCGGCAACTCGACTCTTTGGCTTCGAAAGCAGCCCCGTCCAGCTGTGCCCATTCCTTCTTGAGCGGCTCTGCACGGGGCACCCACAGGGTGTGGAGGGTGATCCCAGGGTGCCAGGACGCCTCCCTCACTGCTCAAGCCAGCTCCAGAGGGAAGGCCGAGATGGACGTGGCTGGTGGCGGTCAGCGGGGAGCGAGCGCCGGGGAGGGAAGAGGAAGGTTAGCGGGTTAGCAGGAGCCACACTCCCCGGCCCCGCCCGCATGCGGTCAACGACAATCACCACCACAACGGACTGCAAACCAGACAGTTAACACACACACTCAGCAAGACACAGGGAAAGAAGTCTGCTTTCAGTGCTTGTCTGGAAAGAATGGGGCATCTGCGTAGACCAGCCTTGGTAAGGACAGTATTCCTCGACTCCACCAGCACAAATCACTGCCCGTGTTCCGGGATGTGAGGCGGAAGGGCCCGACCACGAGCGGTGACCTGGAACTGCGGTCACTGCAGCCTGAGCGGCCCGAGGGCTGGACCTGCTCCCTGGCTTCACCCCACTCCCCAGTCCCCCCCGAGACAGTCGAAGGGATACTGTACCTTGTGAGGGACTGTCACATACTCAGGGGTTTGTAACAGGGCTACCAGGTGTCAGAGGAAGAAGAGAAAGAGCTGGGCTTCGGGTCCCTGCTTGACTAGTGTCGCTACGCCCCTGAGAGGCCGCGGGGAGAAGGTGGGGGTTACGTTACCTTCCTGGACACAGCAAGGGCAGAAGGAGAGAGGTCTACGCCGTGGAGTCCCGCCACTGGGCTCAACTTCAAAAAGGGCCAAACAAGGAGGAGGAGGAGACGACACGGACAGAGAGGAGGAGGAGGCATTCAGAAGTGGGGAGGGACAGGGAGAAGGTGAAGTGGACAAAAAGCATAAAAGTGAGAAAGGAACAACAGGAGGAAAAGAAAAAAAATACAAGAAATGGAAAAGCAGAAGCAAGGGAAACACAATCTACAAATGAGTTCAGTCCTTCCTTCATCCAGCACAGAAACTGGTCAGGAGTCGCCCTGGGCCCGGGCGGGCGGGCACTGTCTTCCTCAGGTCCTTGCTTGGCAGGGTGGGAAGCTAGGAATGACCACGGGCGCCTCTGGGGCTTGGGGATCCTCCTTGAAAACACCCAATGTGCCAGCAGGCCTGCCTGAGTGAGAGTTCTCAAGATCACCATGTGGGTAAATCTAAGCACCCTCAGGGCTGACACCCGCTCTGCTCTGACCCTGAGCAAGGACTTGTTGGCCCAGTGAGTTCCCCAGAGGCAGCCCCATCTGGATGAATCACCACCCCACCTCTGGCCGTGGAGAGCTGAGCACTCCTCTCCTGCCCCTTCCTCTCCTCCAAGGGCCGACACCACAGCGGGCACACTGCTACACTGTGGACACGTCCAAAACTCACAGAAACAAAGCCGGGGAGTCGTGGACGGGGCAACCGAGAGCAGACGGCGTGCAGGGGACACGGCTGGACTCGGGGCCTGGGCTCTCAAGGGACCGGGCCTGCTCAGCAAGGGACCATCACAGAACCACAGGCACATGCAGGAGCCACGGCCCCTGGGGCGGGGAGCAGGGGCTGGGCCATTAGAGAGAACCCTGTTCAGGTGAACACGAGGGCCAAGCAGACGTGTGCTGAGAGGCCCGTCACTGTGCAACGGGAGTGAGTGCAGGTGCCCTGTGCTCTCTATCTTTAAGGTCCTTTTGCATGTTCTCTATAGGCTTTTGAGCCTGGTATCAGGCAAAACTTCAGGACTAAAGCAGACAGAGGCTCTGGGTGTATGGTGGGTGTGGACAGAGGCCATGTGTGTGTGTGGTGGGTGTGCAGAGGCTGTGTGTGTGTGGTGGGTGGGCGCAGAGGCCGTGTGTGTGTGTGTGTGGTGGGTATGTAGAGGCTGTGCGTGGGTGTGGTGGGTGTGTGCAGAGGCTGTGTGTGTGTGCGTGTGTGAGCAGAGGCCATGTGTGTGGTAGGTATGTGCAGAGGCTGTGCATGTGTGGTGGGTGTGTGCAGAGGCTGTGTCTGTGTGTGCAGAGGCTGTGTTTGTGTGGTGGGTGTGTTCAGAGGCTGTGTGTGTGTGCAGAGGCCATGTGTTGTAGTGGGTGTGCAGAGGCTGTGTGTGTGTGGTGGGTATGCAGAGGCTGTGCGTGGATGTGGTGGACATGTGCAGAGGCTGTGTGTGTGCGTGCGTGCACAGAGGCCATGGGTGTGGTGGGTATGTGCAGAGGCTATGTGTGTGTGGTGGGTGGGTGCAGAGGCTGTGTGTGTGTGTGCAGAGGCCATTTGTGTGTGGTGGGTGTGTCAGAGGCTGTGTGTGTGTGGTGGGTGTGTGCAGAGGCTGTATGTGTGGTGCATGTGCAGCGATCACAGTCATTCAGTGTTCTGGACAGATGTGGCCATGACCAGCTGGTCACTGAGGCAAGCAAGAAGCTCCTTTCTTACAAACACCCTCAGTTTATACTCGTCTACATCCAGGCTTCTCTGCCTCAAGATGGGTGCTCAGACACCTGCACACACCCTCAAACAATAGGGTCCCCACCTCTGCTGCCCCCTGGGACAGATGTTACACACAAACAGACTGTGGAGACAGTGGAACAGCATCTGTGCTCATCAGCAAGGTCAGAGACTCAACATGGTCACACGCATCCAAACAAGGAAGCCTGTGCCTGCAGGTGCAGTGAAAATGTGCTTCCCCTTCCAGACATCACGGAACACAGCTTAGACCCTTTAATGCAGAGCACCTCCCAGATGCCCTTCCGTACAGAGGACAGCATGAGACCACAGGACAGGACTCAGGACAGAAATCTGGAGGGGCTCCCTGGTGGCAACGGGCAGTGCAGACACAAAAGGGCCAGAGCCCCGAAGGGTGGGTTGTGACGCTCTTCCTGAACCTTCCTGAGTGCTCTAGTGTTTGCACAGTGTATACTTTATAATCAGAAAACCAACCAATAAACACTGTTTTAAGGAGAAGAAAAATCAACCAAACAAGGTGAGCTTCCACCCCAGGCCTGAACCTGACATAAGTGTGCAAGGGAGGCACAGAGGCACAGTTTGAAGCTAATCTCTCCTTGTCAGGAGATGTGAGAGACACAGATGTGGTTCACCCACGGGAGGCGCAGAATGGTCATCACTCTCACAGCAACAGAAGTCACTTCTGTCAGTCATGCTCCTGTTTGTGCATCACTCGCAGACCCCAGTCACCACCCCAAGTGCCCACAGCCCACGGCCCTAAGGGCGTGACGGTCACCAGCACCCACCCCCCCCCGACATCGGGGCAGGCCACACGAGTCAAGAGTTTGAAAAGCTGCAACTTATCATCGTGCAGCGAGGCACATCCCATGGATTCCAGAGAGCTGTATGCACTGGGCATGAGAGTGTGTCAGAGACCAAAACACGGGCACATGGGCAGCCTTGTCGAGCCCCAGCACTGGCCCCAGCGGCTGCCCGGACAGTATCAGCAGCTCTGCGGTCCAAGGAGGGCCCCGAGGCGCAGGGTCAACCGTGCATACCCTGGCCAGGATCTGCTTCACTCCCCCTCCCTCCCAGTGCAGAGGGCCTTCCTTCGGGAAGCAAACCCAACAAAGGGAGGCAGCCCGAGGAGGGGCCGGCCGGCGCCAGACCTGGAAGGGTCACCGCGCCGCCCTTCCCCCCCGAATGGAGAGGCCCAGAGAGGGTGAGTGGTGGGGCTGGGGACACAAAGCGGCCTGAAGCCAGTCCCATCTCCCCGCTCAGGGTCGCTCTGACATCACCCTGCCTCTTTTGCGGCCCAGGGCCGGCAGCACCCCATGGGCTGTGACAGCGGGCAGTCCCAGCCAGTCTGGCGGCAATTCCTCCTCCCGCTTGCTCTTTCTCTGCTTCCGTCTCTCCTGTTCCCTCATACAGGCTTTGCCCGAAGCACTGCTTCCTCCCTCCCGCCTTGTCGCCTCACTGCAGGGACCCTCAGGGTAACCAGAACACTGTGGCTGGTTTGCAAGCCGCATGGCGGCGTGCTGCATCTGATGGGATAGAAGGTTCTCCCTGACAGCCCTGGCTTACAAGCATAGAGTTGGAGAGATGCCTTATTGGGAATTCAGTACGAGACAAACCTCTAGACTGGGGGGAAACGAAGAGGGAAAAGCACATGAAAACTGAGCTCTAACAAACACACACACAGGCTGGGACACGCCCACACTCAGAGGCTGGGACATGCGCACGCGCACACATGTGCAGACACGCAGGCTGGGACACATACACACATACATGTGCACACACAGGCTGGGACAGGCACACACGTGTGTGCACACACAGACTGAGACACACACGTGTACGCACACACACAGGCTTGGACATGCACACACTGGGACACACACAGACTGGGACACACACACGTACACACAGGAATGCTGGGGAATCTGAAGGACTGACATTTCTTAAAAGCAAAACCGAGCCAGGCTCATGCTCAGACAGAACAGATCAGCCAACATCAACTCAGGGGAGCGGACAGCACAGGAAGGCTCAGAGCGGGGTGGGCACACATCCCCATCACAACCCATGGCAAAAAATGAAAACCCCCTCCCCAGTCCCTTACGCCATTTCTAAACCACTCATGCTCTTTCCATTTCCCCTGGAGATGTACAAATCAAGATGTGAAGTCTGGAAACCAGAAATGGGGTGTGAATATTTCTAATTCAAAATTCTCCGGAAGAGATACAGTCTTCACCTGAAGACGTCCAGGTCTCCTCCCTGGTCTAGAGCAACAAGGGCGGTGGCTGGGCAGCAGGACCCTGTCTCTGTTCTTTAATGGGTCCTCTGCAACCCCAAGGTGCAGCTCTGTGAAGAGGAGTCTTGATACTCTCTGGCTCAAAAGAAGACTTTCAACAGGTCTGGAGCCTTTAAGTCAGCTGAGAGTCACTCTAAGACCCCAGGGGGGCATGACAGTGCGACAGGCAGGGGCTGGGCAGGGACTTCAGTCTGGACTCCTCCCTCTCACCTCACAGGAAGCACAATCGGTACTGGGTCCCCATGGCCCTTTGGGGATGCAACCTGGTGGGCTAAAGTCCACGCGGCCACAAAGATTTGGATACAACTGAGCAACTGAGCCCATGCAGCAAGTGATCAGGCTCTACATCTCAGGATCCAGATTTCAAGAGGGTAAAATTCCACCCAATAATGAGACTACCAATTGCTCTGTGGAGGAGACATCAGCAGGAACTGAAACGGGAGCTGCTTCTGACATCAACCTTCTCCCCCCAGACTTGTGGGTGGCGGTAGCTGCCATGTGAGGGCGGAGACCCTAGAGCCACAGCAGGCTGATGGGTGAGGACACGAATCGGGCAGCAGGGGTTTATAATTCAGAGATACACTGAGCTCCTCTTTCTACATATTTCACTCTCCCTCAGAACTTGTTGGAATTCTAAATCCAGAAGGCTGGAAGCTGGAATCCAGGGACACAGAAATGGAAACAGCCAGCATCTTATCACTCAAGCATCAGCAGTGAAGGGAACAGAACTGGCCACACGAGGTCATCAGTGTGGCTAACGTTCTCAAGCTGGGAGGGGAGGCTGAATGCAGTTTCAAAGAAATAGGTTTGACAGTCCTTCCCAGGAGACTTTGAATTAAACAAAACAATTGAGATTCATTTGGAATTGACACAGACGTTCCCAGAGGTGTCAGAAGGAGGCAGAAAGTGAGCCCAGGACATTAGTCAGGGTGGGATCTGTTAGTTGGGGTGTAAGCATGAGCCCTTTTACAGCACCAATGGCCATGAGGTGGCAGCACCTGGACACTGGAAGCTCAAACCCTGGAGGGCCGTGGAGAGGGTGGACCCGGGGACCTGGGATCAGAAAGCAGAGGGGAGGCCAGGACACCCACCCCAAGGAGGGCGGAAGCCTCCTTACTGGTGTAGCCTCTCTAAGACCAGGGCTCTATCTTGAGTTGCAATTACAATCATGCTTGGTTTTTAAATGAATGGGCCAAAAAGAGACTCTCTTAGAAGAATGGAATTATGGTAAAAAAAAAAAAAAAAAAAAAGAGAGAGAGAGAAAGATCTTGCCTGCTCTTGACCACTTTCAGGCACAGAGCCTGCCTGGGAGACAAAGAGGTCTGACCACCTGACCAGGATGCAGGACTTCAAGAAAGCGCTGGGCCTGGGAGCCCTGGGAGTAGCAGCTGGCTCAGCTCCTGACATGAGGGCAGCTGTCCAGAAGAGTTACCACCCAGGTCTAGAGGCGATACTCCTGCCTGGGTGCTTCTCTGGTCCAGCACAAATAGTGAGCCTTGTGCAGCAAGACACCCACAGACTGGACTCAGACTCTGAGACAGTGGTTCTACTGTAGAAGTGGCCTGGGACACTTGCTAAAGCAGGGACCAGGCCTCACCTCCAGGATCCCTGACTCAGAAGGTCAGGGGTGAGGGTGGGAGGAGGGGGTGAGACTCTGCAGTTCTAACAGGCCCGGGTCTGGAGGCTCGGAGGCTGCAGGGACCACACACACAGGACTGGTCTCGATTTCTCAGTTTGGTGAAAAGAAGACACAGCAGTCCCAGGACAGAGTAGGGGGAACATTCTCAGACAACTCCCCTGGGCACCTGGACCTTTCAGGTCAGCATAAACATGTACTGACAGAGGCTGTGGGCATCCTGGGGAAGGTGTGAGGGAGGGGGCTCGGGAAGATTGTGGTGGAGCATGTGCATGCTTGCCTGAGTGTGTATGTACATGCACACCAGTTGCTACCATCAAAAGACCAAATGGGTGTCAGTGGGGCTGGGATGCAGATTGGATCAGAGGCTGATGCTGTGGCTGGTGAACCTCTAAATTTACCAGTTCAGGTCAGTTTCAGGCCCAGCAACAAGGGCTGTCTCAGGTCTCCCCCGCCACGCACGTGTGGCGAGGCCGAGTCAGCACACTGCTCTGTTTGAGCTGGAAAAGGGCCTGTGCTTTACCATCCGGTTATGGTTATCAGGCTGACTTCTTGCTCTTTGTGAGCGGGGGCAGGGGAGGAGGGGGGAGTCAGCAGGGTTAGTTCTGTAACAGGTCTGCATACATACCACCCAGATGCAAGTCGATGAGGTCAGTGTAATAAGACTCTCCCCAATAGTCTACAACAAGGAATCGGGGAAGCGTTATTGGATCAGGTAACCCTCTGGCCCCCCAGTCCCTGGCAGTCAAGGGCGTGAAGCATAAGAAACACCCAGGGAGGCAGCAGAAAGCATGCGTTTCCCCCAGGCACCCACACACACATGCTTCGGCCACAGGCCTCCCGGTGCCAGGGGTGGTCCTGAAAACCAAGGCGGGGNGGGGGGGGGGGGGCGGTGGAAGGGGGCAGCATGTAGCCAACCAGCAGCTGGGACAGGGCCTTGGCTCTGCTGGAGATCCTGCTGGGATTCAACCTCATCTAATTCAGACTAATGTGAGGGGCAGGTCAAAGGCTATGGACTTTCCTAGTTTTGCAGTATCAGAAGCCCCAGACTAAGAGGCCGAAGGCCAGACGTGAACGCCTAAAGAGGCCGTGATAGCTCTCAGCTTGCCTGTCCACACTGACCCCAAGTGGAGCAGAACCACATCTGCTAAACTGGTCTGAGTGAAGGAGGCTCTGTGGCCCTCAAGGTCACCAGGCCCCCAGAGAGCAGGAAACAGTGGCGCCTCGCTCCACAGCTGCCCCACCAGCACTTCTGTTTGTCACAGCGCGGCAAGAGTTAACCCAGGACCATGACAAATGAAAGCGCAGTCAGCTGCAGCTTACCACCCTTTCCTCCTCATCTCACAACCCAACAGCTGGTTCCGGCAGCGTCCAGTTCCACATGAGGGCTCCCCGTGGGGGACACAGACACCAGAACGCTGAACGAGGCTGTCCCAGTAGGTTCCGAAAACAAAGAGGGCTTCCCAGCTGCTCCAGACCACACACCTTGGGAATCTCGGTCTTCTCTGAGGCTCTGACCCCAGACCTGCTGTCTGGATGCACGTCAGCCTTCTCTGGAGGGCAGCTCGGCCACCAGTGACACCTCAGAGAACCCATGGACTGAGACCGAATGGCTGGTTCAGGAAAGGAGCTGACCAGTGCTGCTCAGCCCACAAGGGCCGCCTCAAGGGCTCGGCCACAGGCAAGCACACCAGCAAGAGCAAAGGGACACAAAGCCCAAGAGAAGATGATGTCGCCAGGTGGGAACACAACTCAGGAAGTGAGGTGCTTGAAATGAAGAAAGCAAAGCTCTGGGCTCCTCTGTCCAGCTACTCCATCCTGTTTCCGAAATGCATTGTGGGAATTTCCCAACAGAGATACCACTGCCTGTATATGAACTGGAGATGGACATTTGGACAGAAGTGCTGGAAAGTCTTGCTTAGTGGACTCTGGATCAGAACTCTGGTTTTCACCCTGCTCTCTGGAATGCCCGGGCTCTGCACGTGGTGTTCTGGGCTCTCCCAATACCTGACTCACAACTACTTCTAATTCAGCAATAAATTTCAATTGGACACACCACATTCGAATCTGTGATCCACCAGCTTGTGACCCATGGAAGCCCATCACCACGCTGACCTGTGCTGTCAGGTCAACTTGCTTCTGTGCGGCCCCAGGACCACCAGGCATCCTCTGCCCTGTGTGTGTGAGTGTCCGTCCAGCCTGTCAGGACACTTCATTCATCGACTTAAGTCCTAGCCTGTGAGCAGTCTCACTCAGGGAACCCACCCCTCAAAGCATCCTACCAGCTGACCCTCTAGGCACAGGCTGACCCTCCAGGCACAGGGTGATCCTCCAGGTGCAGGCTGACCCTCCTGGCACAAAGTGAACCTCCAGGTGCAGATTGACCCTCCAGGTGCAGGGTGACCCTCCAGGCGCAGGTGACCCTCCAGGCGCAGGTGACCCTCTAGGCACAGGCTGACCCTCCTGGTGCAGAGCGAACCTCCAGGTGCAGGCTGACCCTCCAGGCACAGGCTGGCCCTCCGGGTGACATGACTCACAGTACAGCTGGCTCTGGGTTCACTGCACGTTTGGGAGCATATATCTGAGGTCCGTTCTTGCCCAGGAATCTAAACTGCAGTTGGATCCGTAGCGATTCTGCTGCGACAGCAGCTCCAACTTTAAGCTTCAGACGCCTAGACCATTCTCACTGTGCACACGCTGAATTCCCATGGCTGTACATGACCTGCTTCCATTTACAATCACCACCTCTGCACACCAGGGTGCCCACCCTGCAACCAGGGCTGGACTGGACACTGAGGTTTTTGCAGTTCTCTACCACAACCTGCATTTTCCAATCTGTGTTCATTAACATTTAACAGTAACATTTAACAGTAACAGTAACAGAAACTTGAAACCATAATTTCTCTTGTAAAAAGGGATTCTGCTGCTGATAAAACAGCTTGAAAACCACTGACACAGATGAAATTCTGATTGTATATGTTTGCAAAGGGGTAATTATCTAAACAACTAGAAAGAGGAATTTCAGCAAAATCCCAGGCCAGTCTCCAGTGGGCCCTTTCCTCTGGCCCCTTGGCAGGCAGCAGTCTGATAAGGAAATGCCGAGGGGCCGTCAAGGACACGCCATGGGCAGCCAGCAGGGCCATGAGTGCCGTGGGGAACATACACTAGGATAAGGTCCCTGTGAGGGACCACCTTCCGCCATGGCAGGTGGGATCCGGGGGCCCAGGGCCCTCCTGGCACCTTCAGCCAGCAGAAACAGCAGCAAGGGCACGGCTGTGGGTCCCCATTCACACCAGGTACAGGACAGCTCCCTCCAGGCGGTCAAGGCTTGACTGAGGAGGCTGGGGTCAGGGCATGCAGCACGGGGGCACTGCCCGTTCACCTGAGCCCCCACTCCTGGACACAGGGTCTAGTTTTCACTCTGGTGGCACAGAGTCCAGGATCAGGCAAGACCAAGACATCACAGCTCATCTTTCTGCCTCATCCCCTCTTCACCTGAAGGTCACCCTTCGACCGCTGGCTGAATTCCGTGCAGGAAGGCCCTGGACAGGAGACTTCCTTCGTGCCTGCCTGGCTCCACACCGAGCGCCGGGCCTCCAGAACCCCACAGATGCATCCTGACACCAGGCACTCACTCAGAAGCCAGCTGTCGGTCAGTCTTCCAGCAAGATCAGAGGCAGTGATGACTGTACTGGTGGCCACCTCTTCCTTCTTCTTCTTTGGTTTATCCTCAGCCCACCTGCCTGGAGACTCACTCCACCCCACCCCGGAGCACAACCACAACAGCACCTGTCTTCACTGCAGGCTGCATGAGCTCGTTCTGACCCTGGTTGCAGTGCTCTCCACAAAAGGGTGGAGGCTCCAGACTCAGGGACGCTGGGGAAAGCAGGGAAGAATCCCTCGAGTGGGGGTGGGGCTGCAGTGGGGCTGGTCCAGGGGTTCAAGGTCCTGAACCAAGAGGCCATCCTGGGCGCTGGGTGCCTCCTTGCTTTCTCTGCAGGTTCTGGGGAGAGTGGTTTGACCGCATGGCCCCCATGGTCTGCCCCAGTACACGGCCCTCACAGCCTCTTCCCAGCCTCTACTCTGCTCTGCCCCAAGTGCCCACCCCCAGGACCAAGCCTGGTCCACCCTGGGGTGTCTGTGATGCCACCCACAGCAAGGCCTGTGGGAGGGGTGGGGAGCTGCACGTGCAGTTCTGTGATGGCCCCTTGTGCACAGCCTGCCCTGCTCCCAGCCACTGTCTTCTTGGGGAGACGATGGGGAGGGGAGGGAGGGGGAGGCCCAGGGCATCACCAGCAGACATGGGGGACAAGGGCAGGGGGAGCCCTGAGACGGGGGGTGGGGGCCAGGCTCGGGGAGCCCCAGATGCATAGGCCTTTCTCCTCCTTTGCTTCACAGGAAGCCCCAGATCCCAGTGACCAGAGAATCCCAGGGGACCAGAGAATCCTGCTGGAGACCCACTGACTCAGAGCGTGGGACGGCAGCTAGCCTCCCATGGGGGGTAGGGTGGGGCTTTCCCAAGGACCCTGTCCTCTAGACCCAGCGGTACCTGCTTCCCCACGCAGCGCCTTCTCCACGGCGACCCCCCTCTCCTCCAGCTGCCGCTGCTTCTCCTCCACCTGCTCCAGCTGCCGCTGGATGATCTGCGGGCGACACACAGTGAGTGTAAGGGGCAAGGGGAGGACACTGTGAGGGGGAGGGGAGGACACAGTGTGAGGGGGAGGGGAGAACACTGTGAGTGTGGGAGGGAGGGGAGGACACAGTGTGAGGAGGAGGGGTGGACACAGTGTGAATGTGAGGGGGAGGGGTGGACACTGTGAGAGGGAGGGGTGGACGCAGTGTGAGGGGGAGGGTGGGGAGGACACACAGAGTGAGGGAGGAGGGGAGGGGAGAGGAGGGGGGAGGGGGGTGAACCCTCAGGTAGCCAGGACACTGGGATCTGGGTGGCTGTCCGGGGCACACAGAGAGGCTGAGCATGCTCCAGCAGGGCTTCCTGACAGTCTGGAAACCCTGCATCCACAAGAGTAAAAAACACCCAGCACAGACTTGCAGCTGCCAAGGGGGTGGGGAGTAAACAGGCAAAGACTGGGAATTTGGAGTAAGAGGTACAAAGTATTATATACAGAATGGATATAACAAGAGCCTACTGTACAGCACAGGGAACTGTAGCCAATCTTCTGGGATAAACTCTCATGGAAAAGATTTAAAAAAAAAAAAGACTGTCTATGTGTGTATAACTGAGTCACTTCGCTGTACAACAGAAATTGGCATAACACTGTAAACCAACTGTACTTCAATTAGGGCTTCCCAGGTGGCACTAAACCTGCTTGCCAATGCAAGAGACATAATGAGACACAGGTCTGATCCCTGGGTTGGGAAGATCCCCTGAAGGAGGGTATGGCAATCCACTCCAGTACTCTTGCCTGGAGAATCCCATGGACAGAAGAATCTGGCGGGCTACAGGCCATACGGTTGAAAAGAGTCAGACAAGACTGAAGCAACTTAGCACACAAGCATACTTCAATTCAAGAAAAAAACAGCAGCACCCATGTGGTGTGGACCAGCCACACTCCGCAAGGAACAAGGTTTCTTGAGGATACTGGACCCCTGGGAGGACCTTGCACCCAGAAGCCCTAGTCTGTTGTTGTTTAGTTGCTAAATCGTGTCTGAATCTTTGTGACCCTATGGACTGTACTAGCCAGACTCCTCTGTCCATAGTATTTTCCAGGCAGTTCTGGAGTGGGCTGCCATTTCCTTCTCCAGGGGATCTTCCCGACCTAGGAATCGAACTCATGTCTTGTGCACTGGCAGGCAAATTCTTTACCAATGAGTCACCAGGGAATACTTTGCATTAAAAAATTATTTTTTGTTAAAAGGGAGAAACAAACATCAGAAGGCCTGGGCCTGAGGACAGCGCCAACCTGTAAACCCCGGTGTGTCAGAGGCCAGCCGGACTGGCTGGCTTACGGTGGTTATTCCAGAGCTGGGAACCTGGGAGACCCCAGGCTGGGCATATCTGTTTCCACCAACAGCTGCCCCCAAGCGAGGCTTCTACAGCTGCATCGAGCCAGAGGCACAGGCCAGGGGACAGTGGCTCCGCCCTGCCTCCTCCCTCGCCCTTGTGTGGATGGGGGCAGCAGGTTGGGAAGATGGGAGGCTCTGCTGCCCTTACCTGGGCACGGTGCAGCCGTTTCAGCTCTTCCTGCTTGGCCTGCCTCCGAGCTGCCTTCTGCACACGTCGGGTCAGCTTGGCATTCAGCTCCTCCTCCGTGTAAGTTCTCGGCTGGAGGGGACAAGAGGGTTTCCTTGGTCAGCAGCTGGCTGGGCCAGTGTGCACAGACGCCCAGCCCTTGTCCCTGCAGGAGCCCCACGGGAGACGTGCCCCATGGGGGAGGGATGGAGGCCGGCTGCACACTGACTGCTGGGCAATTAGGACGTGGGGCAGTCTTTATTGCGGAGACCACCGTCCTACGGTTTCCCACATAACAACATCTGCTTTCTTAAGACTGGGGGTAAACGTGGTCACGTGTTCTCCCCAAGTCTCTGGCTTGTAGGGGGAACGCAAAGAAGGAAAAAGAAAAGCCAGGGTCCTTTTACTTTTCTGTTTGTAATCAAAAGCCCCTTTCTTCAGATGAGCACTACTTCCGAGGCTCCTGGAGGAAGTCTTGCCTGAAGTAAATAGGTGCTTCTATTCTGAATGAAGCCTCACTAACTGATGCGGCTGGAGGAAGAGCACAGGTGAACTGGACAGACTCGGGGGTCTATGCACCAAGAGGAAGGCGGATGTGCTCCAGTAGGGTAATAGCTGCTCCTGCAAAGGTGTGCCTTGCGGGCACAGTGAGTGTGACCACTGGGCTGGCTAGGGTCCGGGGGTGGGGGTGGGGGCTGAACAAGGGACAGAGTCACGGCCACGGCCCGCCCACCTCTTTTCTGGACTTCTGGGAGGTCCGCTCGAGGACGTCATCACTGGAGAGGTCCGAGTCCTCCGAGCAGCTCAGATGGCGCCGGGTCCGCAGCTCTGGAGGCAGGGCCGAGCAGATCGTGACCAGCGGGCCCACCCCCTGGCGACCTGGGTGGGGAGTGAGGTGTGGTTCCCCCCAGTTTGGGTCTGTCCCCGCACCAGGAGCCACAGGCCTGGATCCTGACACGCACCCAGGCAGGAGCCCCCATGCACCAACAGGCCGTGTCCAGCTGCAGCACCTTCCCTAGGAAGCACAGCCACCCCATGGCCCCTGCCCAGCCATTCGCTTGTTTTGGAACGTCCTAAGTTTAGCGTCCTCCTCCCTAGGAAACCCCAGGGGAGGCAGGGCGGCACAGGCAAGGGGTCTTCGGAGGGAACCGTGGGGACGGGAGAGCCTGCACCCCAAGCTGTGCCCAGGGCAGGGGTGGGGCTGCACTGCCGAACCTGCTCTTGAGACGGGAGATGCCCTGGGCTTGCCAGCATCCACTGTGGTCCCGCTGGAAGGGGTGCTGGGGCAGGACCGGCCGTCGCTCTTCTTCTTCTTGTCCTTCCGGTACCCGGAGAAGACGGACTTCCACAGAGACCTGGGCTTGGCGGCCACTTCCTCCAGAGTGCCAGGGCTAGGCCTCTCCAGGGGCTGGCCCTCGCCCTTGGGCTTCTTCTCTTTCTTGCTTCTCCGAGGAGAGAAGAGGGATGACCTCTTCTTGCTTTTCCCGCTGGAGCCCTCTGACGAGGTGACCGAGCCGTCCGGGCCCCCTGAGTCCGAGGGAGGGGACAGCACCTCCTCACTCGTGGCTTCTTGCCTCGGGGCAGGCTCCTCGGGGCCCTTGGGGGGCACAATAGCGGCTCTGCGAGGTGCAGGGGTCCTGGGGGTCCCAGGGGCTGCAGCCGCTACGTCCATCTCCTTCATCCTGCTCAACTGCCGGGCCATGGCGTCCCTCAGTGCTTGGCTCCGCACTGACTTCTCCCGAGCCCGCATGCGCTCGGCCGCCAGCTCCTTGGCCTCGGCCGAGACCAGCGGCAGCCCCCGCTTCTGCAATGGGACCCCACTCTCCGGCCCCCGGCCGTTCTCTGCAGCCAAGGGCGGCTTGGGGTGGGGCCAGTGGGAGGGGGGTGTGAAGAAGGTCTCCTGCAGACTCGAGTCCTCCGTGCGGTCATCACACGTGTTGTCATCATACGTGTCCTCCACGTCATCTGCGAAGGGGATCTCATCCACGCTCTCCACGAAAGACTTCCGCGCCTCCTCTTGGGGGGGCTGGGCAGGCTCCCGTGGGGGCCTCACGCAGGCAACCGGGGGTGTGGGTGTCGAGGCCACAGGCTGCCCTGCCAAGGCTGGCTTCCTGTGAAGGGTAGCAGGCTCCTCATCAGGAGGCGGGGGTGGCGGGCTGGAAGGGGGCGTGAGCATGGTGGAGTCGGAGGTGTTGAAGCTCTGGCTGCCCGGTGTCCTGGTGCGGGAGGAGCTACCCTGCAGGCCCAGCCCTGAGCTGCTGGACAGGTCTCTGTGCTCCTCCCGCGGGACCTTCGGCTCCCTGTCGGGCGGGGACACAGGGGTGGGCGGGCAGGGCTGGGCACCCTCGACGGTGGGCAGCCCCAGTTTCCTGGGGACAGATGGGAGTTTTAGGAGCCGGAGCCCCTCGCTCTGGGGGACCTTCTCTGTTTGATAGGCCTTCAGGGGAGGGGACTGGAAGGCAGGCTCAGACCCCGGGCTCCGGCGCACGGGCGTGAGCCCCAGGCTGCGGCGGATCTCGGCACTCTTCATCCAGAACTCAGCCACCAGGTCGCTGCGTTTCAGGGCCTCGTCCCCAGGGAGGGGGCTGACCAGTGTGTCCTTGGTGACCCCTTGGTTCTTCACAGGGAGGGGGGCCAGAGGGGTGGAGGTTCTGGCCGGCACGGGCTGGGAGCGGATGGGGGACAGGGTGGGGGATGGCACAGTGGCCTCAGGGGACGGCTGAGGCTGGGAGCAGATGGGCAGTGGGGCGGGCGGGGACTGGTGCTGGGGGCTGGCAGGTGAGGGCGGCGTCCTGGCTTCAGGCTGTGATCGGATGGGAGGGCGAGCTTCGGGCTCCGCTGGCGGGGTCGAGGGCTCCAGCAGAGGACTCTCGGCAGGTGACCCTACCCCGGTGGCCACAGTGGCAAGGGGGGGACAGGCGCTCTGTGGGAAATCGAGGTGACAGGAGCCACTCAGAAGGCAGGGCTGTGACAGGCGCGCTCTCCCACCAAGGGCCCGAGCTTCCTGAAGCAGCCTCTCCATCCTTGGGGCCATAGTCGAGGGCCAGGAGGATGCCCCCTCTTCTGCCCTGTCCAGCTCTGGAGCCCCTCACCCAGTGCACACAGGCAGCTTTCAGGCTGGGTTCATCCCAAGTGCACCTTGTTCTTCGGGCCCTGAAATGACACCAGCCAAAGGACAGCACGACGTGCCCTAGCCTGCCAGGGTCTCTGATGTGAGGCGGGAAAGTGTCAGTTACACTCTGCCTCCAGGCACTCTTTCCGACCACTCCTGGGCTCATCTCAGGGGAAAACACCCAAGTCACCTGTTCCTCAGGACCCAAAGACCAAGTCAAGTCGCCCCCAGCCTCCAGCTCTGGCCTCCCTGCAGACGTCTCCCCTAAAATGTGCTCCACAGGAAACAGTGTTACTATTTAGGGAGCATCTTGCACTGTATGGTGTGAACACCCCTGGTAACCCAGACACACATTTTTAATTCAGAAAAGCACAGTCATTTGAACATAACACTGAGAAGAAACAAATCTGCTACTCAAACCAGTGATTCCACAAATCCTGCTGTTTCAGCTTGCTGTGGTACCAGGAGACAGTGGGCCAGATGGGGCTAGAGCCCCAGCCACTCCTGCTTCCAACAGCCCTGTCAGCACCGTAGGCAGTGGGTCGAACCCTTACCTGTGCCCCGGGGCTGCGGGCTGGGGAGGACAAGCCTGTGGGCTCCTCAGGGGACCGGGTGGGGCTGGAGACTCGGGAGGGACCTGAAAAAACAAGAAGCAGGATTTGCAAGAGGAAGCACCCCCTCTGGCTGGGCAGGGAGCCCAGGGGAAGGGGCTGCACACAGACCTCTCTCTGGGTGCCCTGCTGAGGCCAGTGGTAGCTCCTCCTCGCCGTCCGACACCCTCAGCTCCAGCTCTGCTCCCACCGCCGGCCGGTGCAGCTCCGTGTCAGCCTCAGACGGGATGTCGTCCGACCAGTGCTGATCTGGCCAAGGGAAGCAGCAGCACAGGCCTCTAGTGAGGCCGTGCTCCCCTGGCAAATGCTGCCTTCCCCCCGGCTTGGAGGCCAGCTGCCAGGACATCCAGCAGCAACGTGCATCCCGTCCCGGCCTGGCCCTGCCCGCTGGTCCTCTGATCCCCAGACTGCCCATATCATCCCATTGTTCCAGCCTCCAGAGGCAGCGGCTGCCTTAGAGGCCCTGTAGGAAGTCCCACATCTGCTCGGTTTCTCCCCATAACTGAATGAACACAGCCCCTGTCCACCGAGTGGGTGAAACGGCAGGTGTTCAGGTCAGTGCAGAACAAGGAAGGAACCATGAGTCCTAACGGTCACTCTTCCGAGCGCTTCGCTTCCACTTTAACGTGCACTGTTCCGCCTTCCCCGAGCTCAGAGCTCTCTGGTCCCGTACCGTCATCCAGCTCGGCGCCAGTGTCCCCTGCGTCCCCATTCTCTGCTGCCTCCCCTTCGACCTCTGCTGGTTCTGAGTCCACATCTCCTTCCAGGTCATCCTCATCGAATGGGACTGCAAGGCAGAAACATCAAAGGAAGGACAAAGAGAGATGGACAGACAAACTGGCAGTGGGGACGGACAGTGGCACTGGGTTCTCGGGGCTGTCCACGGGCAGACTACAGGGAGAAGGGAGAGGGCTGGGAGCTGAGAGCAGGGCGGGAGCTGGGCTGGGCCTCCTGAGCACACGGACCCAGCCAAGCAGGAGAGGAGAAGTGGCCTGGGCCGGCCGGCTTTCCTCTTCCCCCAGCAGCTGCTGGGAGAGCCTGTCTGAGAAGAATGGGGGGCAGGGGGAGAACGCTGCTTATCAGGCCCAGGTTGGCAGATGTCCAGCACATGTGGCAGCCAGGCCCTGTGCCGACCCCTTGACCCTCGAGGAACAGGACGAGGGGCCGTGGCCAGCCCTGCCTCTCAGAGAGGGGACCAAGTCCAGGCAGCTGGGGGTCTGTTCGCACCTGCACCGCTCAGCCTGGATCAGGGCTGTGTGCAGGGCTGGGCAGGGCTGTGGCCTCACTGGGAGAACTCAGACACGTCTCTTTCGGCACACAGGAGAGGGGGGAAGGTCATGTAAAGGTCCTTTCTGGACTTAAGACCAGCCCCTCCATGCCACAGGATGGGACAAAGTGTGATTTCTCCCAAGGAAGCAGCCCACACTCTCACACACTCACACCGGCCCCCACTCTGCACACGAAGCACTCAGACCAGCGGCCGGGCAAGAGACGGCCAGAGGCCGAGCAAGAGATAGCCAGCAGGAAGCTGCCCAGGATGCCAGGCTGGGAGTGCCTACACTGCCAGGACCTGCGTCCCTCCTGCCAAGGTGCCTAGAGGCTCTTCTCAGGGTCTCCTTTCAGGAGAGGGGCTGCCCTTTGACCTGCACGTACCCAGGCCCAAGGGTCCAGCCCTGCAGAAACCCAAGGCCAGGCCACGGGGCCACGACCCTCAGGGACCAGCAGCCAGGCCTCTCGAAGCTGCATTGCCCACAGCCAGGATGTGCAGTGACGAGCAGTGACCTAAAGCGCCCATGGGGTCAAAGCGAAAAGAAGCCGGGGACGAGAGACAGCCGTGACGGCCACTGGAGGTAAGCACCTCTAAGAGTTGGGCCTGCAGCTCGGGACCCGGGGGCCCTGGTGTTTTAAACACTTCCTTAAGCCGTGACTTGTTCTCACCATCTCTTCCATGCACTCAGCTTATTAGGACAAGGTGATGACACGCACCCGCTCCATAGAGTGCTAGAAAAATCCATCTGGAGTGGGTGAGGTGGGGAGGGCTGTGGGAGCTGGGAGCCCCACACAGCTCCTGAGCAGCCACAGAGCTGGTGGGACCTGAACACTGTCCTGTGATGATGGCATTGCTGGGAAAACCCTGTGGAAGCCTCTCAGTTACTCCCACTGACTGAGACATCCATGTGCTCACAGTGTTGCTGGGCACTCACTAAACTCGAGGGGAGGGCCTCCCAAGGCAAGCAACTCCCCCACCCCATGCTATCTGTGGGACAGCAGCTGGCCACTGTAGGGCTCCCTTTCAGAGAGGATCTGATGGGGACAGAACCTGGGCCCACCTCACAGAGGGCACCCTCCACCCCCCAAGCCCACACATGTGCTTGAATCTGCCTGTGAGCAGCCGGGCATCAACAGGTTAAGTTCACACATTTGCTGGAAGCAAGAGTGACGCGGACCCCCAACTGGCCGGGGTTCTGGGCACAGTGCACTAGAACCGCCCATCCCAGTCCTGGCCCCATGGCCCCGGGGCTTCTCCTACTCAGACACACGCCTGCCCTAGACGTGGGATCGGGAGTCGTCTACAGTCCTCAGCGGTACCCTGAAAGGAACGACTGTCACACATGTCAAAACACAGCAAGAAGCTTCAATGTGGCCGCAGCAGCGCTGAAAGAGAGACAGCCTGAGGGAGGAACTGAGGGTTAGTCCAGGGCAGGACGCAGAAGGGGTAGAAGCAGCCACACGCGGAAGCGGGTGTCGCCAACTCGCTCGGCTCTTGTCTAGTCTGCTGCTGCTGGGATGTTCCGACACCTCAGACTCGTCCAAGCATCCTGGGAACAAAACTAACTGTGGGGGGGACCAGCAGCCCTCCCTGCGGTTTGGTGCCTCCTGACGCGGGAGCTGAGGACACCGGGCGGCTGGCGAGAGAGGCTGGTGGGGCGGCCTAGGGCTTCTGTCCTGCCCACCCAACAGCGGCACGCTGGCCCTTCTGCACTGCACAGCCAAGGCCAGGACCTTCAGACGATGGAGTCCCATGACCTGCCTGGATATCAGAGCCCCTGGCTGAGAAACGCCCCCAGAACAGTTCAGTGAGGACAAGGGAGGCCTCACGGCTTCCTTGTGGTCCAAATGCTCAGAGAGCCCTGCACCTCAGCCTGCAGACCCAGCCTGTCCCCCACCTCCAGCTGAATCCCCCCACCCCATCCCCCCACCAGTACTGACTGCCTCCCACCCTGATGCTCCTGTTCAGTGGTTCTTCCAGCCTCCGCCCAGCCCTCACTTTCACAGACGTGAAACCTCAGCGCTACGCATGGTCCTCCAGCTTCAGCCTTCACCGATCTCTACTAACAGTGGTGTCTGTCTTCCCTGCCACCTGTACTCCTGCTCTCTCCCCTCGGGTCCTTCCAGGAGGGCGTGGGGTGTGTGTCTGGTCCATGCAAGGGCGGGCGGCCTGAGTGAGGCATGCACGTGCCCCCACCCTCTGCCGCGCATGCACCAGCGGCAGGACTGGAGTCCCGTGTTAAGGTACCAGCAGGGCTGCCGAGAGAGGGTTACAGTGAGTGGGCAGAGAACAAACATCACCAGTCTACCTCCGGAGACCGACTCCAGCCAGGCCTGTACTGCTGCACGGCGGACGGAGGGGAGGTCAGGCACTGAATTTAAAACAGACAACAAATACACAGTTACACGGGAGTAAGCGTTCCTGGTGAGGACAGCAAGGTCCTCCTGGAGTCTACAATGAAGGAGAGACAGACGACACTACAGCTCAAGGCCCAAGGTGCCCTGTGTGCTGGGTGAGGAGAGAACGGGTGGGGTGGGGGGGGAATGACGCAGCTCGAGTCCAAGTGGCGTCCCCAGGCAGCAGGCTCTCTCTTGGCTCCCAAAGAGCTGCTGGGTGTTTACGAGGCTGCAAAAATGGTTAGACATTGGTCCCTGTGGGCGCTAAATGCAAACACGCAAACAAAAGGGCAAGAGACAGAAGGAAAGACACCAAGGCGGGCATGCCGAGGTTGGGGCATGGAGAAGGATGCCCCCAACGCTCTCTAGGTTTTCCTTTCGTTCCTTTAAAGAAGCCAGAACAAGGGTCATCGTCATCCTCTTGTGAGATGCGGAGTGCCTCCCCTAAAACCCAGGGCTGGAAATGATGCTACTTCAGAGGCCTCCCTGTAGCAAATGTCTTCTTAGGACTTCATTTTAGTCCAAGATATGGTCCCCTGACCCCACTCTGTCCACACACACTCACACCCAGACACACAGCATGATGAAGAGCAAGCACATTCCCTCAAGTGGACAAAGAGGAGCCCGACCTAGTGACACCGGGCAAAGGCAGCAGATTCTCAGTTCTTCCAAGGTCAAGTTCACCCCATTGTTTCCAGTCAGAAGACAGCCCCCTTCTCACCCCACTGACGAGAGCCCAGGAAGCAGACACGCTTCACTGGCTCTTTCTTGTGTGGAGCCGGGCGGCCCGGCCCTACAGCAGAGTCCTCTGCAGCCGGAGGGGAAGGGGGCGGAGGCGCCCGGGGCCCTGCACCCCGAGCAGTTACCTCCAGGAAGGGGGGACTCGGGCGCCAGTGCCGCTTGCTCCTCCTGGTTCTCACGAATATGCGTCCAGTGCACGTCGGCCTGGATCTCCAGGGGATCGGCTGGGTTCAGCAGCTGCTGCAGCCTCCTCGGGCTCCCGACTAGGGGACCAGGTTCCAGGGGAGGAGGAGGTGAGGGAGGGAGAGAGGACGGGAAGAAGGAAGGAAGGAAGACAGGGGAATGTGAACAGTCCAGGGATGGAGGGAGCAGACACCATAGGACAGGAAACAGAGGCAAGGTTACCATATTTGCCAGGATCAGTGTGAAGCAGAAGCAGGCAAAAACTGAGAATCAGTGCATGCGCGCGCGCACACACACACACACACACACCCGACTCCTACTCATTCAGTGTGACCCCGCCCCTTGGAGCCTCAGTGCACGCTCCTGAGCGCGCACACACACGCACACACACTTGACTTCCTACTTGTTCGAGTGACACCCCGCCCCTTGGAGCCTCAATACATGTGCATATGCGCACGCGTGCACGCACACACACACACACACACACCTTCTACTCGTTCAGTGTGACTCTGTCCCTTGGAGCCTCAGTGCATGCGCGTGCACACACACACGCACACACACCTGACTCCTACTGGTTCAGTAAGACCCCACCCCTTGGAGCCTCACTCACGTTAACTGTCATCCATGAAGAGTGTTACTCCCCGTCCAGCGCAGAGCCCCTTCCTCTCTGCCGCTCTTTCCACCTCAACTGCCTTTAAGGGACCCAAGCGCAGGTCACGACTGGCCTCTGCAAGGCCAGCCTCCCACGCACGTGGCTCCAAGGCCACCAAGCCTGTGCCCACTGCCACTTGCTGCGTGGACAGAGACGTGGACGGGCCGGGCCATCCTGCAGGAACCAGCGGCTCACACAGGCACAGCGTGACTCTGTTGGGCCTCTCAGTCATCATCTGCCCCTTCTACGGTGGGCTGAGGCAGGGGTGGACTCAGAGGGGCCATAGCCAGGGAGGAGGTGGGCAGGGTCTGTCCTACAGACCACCACAGCTCAGGGAGCTCACAGGAACAAGAATTCAATCCCTCTGTACCTTTTCTGCAGTCAAAGCCCTTTCCTCTGACTCTCCTCTAGGGCCCCTCTGGTGCCCCCGGACACCAGACCCAGCTCCTCAGCCAGGTGAGAACCCTGCTGCCAGCATCCAAGGAACACGTGTGCACGCCCACCCTGGGGGCTCTGCATTGTCAGTACTAGGACCACACCATACACTTGGGTCAAAACAGGGGACAGCCAGCAACGTGGGGGCGGGGGACCACCGGAGGGAGGGCGGCTTTTCAGCAGCATCTGATCCGAAGGCCTCTCCACAGTCTACTGGGGCAATCTGGCTTCACCACAAGAACCACAACCTCCTAACTTTCTAGCAACAGGAAGACTGCTTGGGGCAGAGGCCACCGACAAGGCCACCAGATGTGGGTGGGGGCGCTGGACTGGGCTGGCGTGCCAGACTGGGCTGGCGTGGGCTCTCCTGGGAGCTGCTGGCTGCTAAGGGCTTTCTCAGGGGTCAAGGGTCCCTGGTGGAGCTGGACGGGCTGCGTCTCCAGACCAGGACAACAAATCCAAGAGAAGATGCAGGCCCCTCCTCCAGCTTCCAGGCAAGCAGAGGAAGACAGTGAGGCTCCCCCTGGGGGCTGCCAGTGTCCCACCAAGCAGGGGGGCCTGGGGACACACTGCCTGGGCACTCTGGGTGCTGGGCGCTCTGTGATGTGAGGTGAGCGGCTCGCATCAGAGCAGGGGCAGTCTTAACAGGATGGAGGACAGGCAGCGGGCATTCAAGGGGCAGAGGGGTCAGTCGGGTGGGCCTGGGGTGGCTGTCTCTCCTACTACTGCACTCTAGGAAAGCCCCCTCCTCACGTGGGACCTGCTCCTGGGGGCACGGCGGAGGCAGCAGGGATACTTTCACCTGCACCCAGGCCCTCATCCCCCTGCAGGAGCTGGCTCTGCAAGCATTCTCTGTCCCAGGGCCAGCACTTTCATCCTGCCGGAGCACCGCGGGGGCAGACGGGAGGAGGACAGAGAGAAGCATCACCCCCGGTTCCTCCAACTCAAGCCCAGCCCTACTTCTGCATCTAAGAAGTCATGTCTCAGGAAGGAAGAGAGGACGCACCCTGACCCTCAGCTGTGTCTGGGCTACAAGCCACCGAGGGACCTTCCAGGGAGGCTGTGCCCTTGCAGTCCCCGTGGACTGACCCCGGGCCATTGGCTCTGCAGGCAGGCCAGCAGTGGAAGGAACCCCAGACGCTGCCCCCCCCCCCCCCCCCCGACTCCTCACATGAGGGGGTGTTCAGGCCCCAAGGGATGCCCTAGAGCCCCGCCTTGGCCTCTGGGAGAGAGGGAGGGAGGGAGGGAGGGAGCGAGGCCTGCAGGAGGACCTGGGCCAAAGGGGTGCCCACGTGCCCACGGAAGCCCTGCCTCATCTGTCGTGGGTCACCGGCTAACACAGTGCTCCAAGGACCCCCAGTTACTTGCACTGTGCCTGGCCGGAACCCGGCCCTCACTGAGCTGCAGTCCCCGGGCTGGGACTGGCTGCTGAGCTCAGGGACCTCCACGCGGGGCAGAGGTCCTAGAGCCACCGAGGGCCAGCCCTGGGGGCCAGGCTCCAGGCCAAGGAGTCACACCCTCCTGCCCTGTCCACGCGCCTGAAGAGACAGCACAAGCCTAACAGACACGAGTCCCCAAGGGCTCTGGTCTCCGCCTGCCTGGCCCCTGCTCACTACTCCGGACCCAGGGCAAGCCGGCACAGGGGAACGGCCCTCTGAGCTCCTTGTCACCACTCGGGCTCACACACACAGCCGACAGATGGGACCAACACCTCGAGTGCCTGATGAGGTGTCAGAGCCAGCCCGACCGCCCCGCCAGGACACGGCTCGCTCCCAGAACATCCCCAGGCTCCACGGGTGAGCCCGCCCGGAGGCCCTCTCCTCAATGCTCTGCAGCCCCCGACACCCGGGACCAGGGACCCCAGAAAGCTAAGTTCCCTCAGCTGGAACAGGACAGGAAGACGAGTGACCTGAGCTGCAGGAGGCCCTGGCCCGCCTCCATGCCCAGTTCTCCCTGATGGCCCATCACGGGTCCCCCAAGGCCTGGGAGAGAGGCGTCTGTCATGGGTCCCCAGCCACAGAAACCCACCCCTGCACACTGCGGTCTGACGTCAGGGTCAGGAGGAGAGGGTGTCCTCTGACCTTCACTAGACTCCTCGTCCTCCTCGTCCTCTTCGTCCTCGTCCTCCTCCTCCTCCTCCTCCTCCTCGTCCTCCTCGTCCTCCTCCCCGGCCCCGAAGCTCCTGGAGGCCTCCAGCTCCTCTTCACTCTTCCCTCTCAGGAGGGCATGGATCCTCACGGCCTCCTTCCAGGGAACGCCGCCCAGGTCCGAGGTGGGCAGCGGGGGCTCCTCTTCCTCCATCTCCGACTCCGAACTGCTGTGGGAACGACCGGAGAACCCAGTGAGGGGACGTCTGGAGGTCAGGGGCACAGGCAGAGGAGTCGGCAAGGCAGCCGCCCGCTGCGGGCCAGGATGGGACAGAGGACGCCTCAGGGGCCAGCGCACCGGGGACAGGGGGGAAGCAGAGGGCAAGATGGGCGCACGGGCTGCCTGTGCAAGCCTCCCCACCCCCTGCGAGAGGCAGTCACTGCTCAAGGGTTCAGGCGCCCGCTCCTGGGGATAAGTGTGCCCCACCTCGCTCTGAGGGCTGGGCCTGGACGCCCGCTCCTGGGGATAAGCGCGCCCCACCTTGCTCCGAGGGCCCAGCCCAGCTGCCTGTGTCTGGGAGGGAGACCCTAAGCCCTCGGTGCCCTGCTTGACGGGGGAAGTCTGACTTCCTGCGGCCTCCGGTCAGGGTGGAGAGTCTAAGAAGGCAGTTTGGGGCAAAGGCTTTGAGTCACACAGCGTCAGCTGACCTGGAGCCCGGGCTCAACCACAACTACTCCCAAGAAGGAACGTGAACCCGGAGGCTCCGAGGGTATCGCCGCATGTCAGCACCAGGAGAGTGGCTCTACCTAAGCACGGCTGTGAGCACAGCCCCTCCAGAGGGTTCTGTTTCATCGTCTTTCTAGAAAATTATACCCCACCCAAGGGTGATGCGGGAGACTGTCACTTTCGCTGGGTCAGAAGCAAGGGTGGTCTCCTGGGCTGTGTTCCCTCAACCCTTCATGGGGCAAATGGCTCTGCCATGACAGCCCTGTCCACGCTGGGAAGGGGGTGTGAACACCCAGTTGTCAGGGTGAGCTGGTAGAGTGGGAGATGTACTTGACTTCACCACGCCTGTGCTACTCGTGGGTCCTCCAGCCATCCACTAGCTTGTTTTACCCATTTACAGTCAGTCTGTCATTCAGCAAATGCTTCTGAGCACCTAACTGAAGTTCAGTTAGTAGATGAGGAAGGAAAGAGCAGGTTCCTCACTGCTCAGCTCAGTCAAGTGAATCCTACTCCATTCATGCGTTCATTCATTCGTGCCACTAAAACTTACCAAGTGTCTGCTGCTCACAATGCCCTTCCCAGACGCTGCAGGGAACACTAAACTGCCACAGAAAAGATCCTCAGTCTCGAGGGAGACAAGATGCAAACAGCAAGACTAGACAGGGTGGCGATAACTGAAGTGGGTGAGGGTCAGGGCGAGGCAGTTTCCAGCAGGAAAACCTAGGGCTGTGGACCACAGAACGCGTGCCCTCTGGAGTCTGATTAGCTTTCAGTGTTGACTGAGCTATGTTTCTGCCTTATCACCGTGACGTTATTTGTTTACTTTCTTTTTAACTAACAACACTGACCAACCCTGGGCTTGTCATTTAACATCTTCCAAAACAGGTAATCAGGGTAAGAACGTCCCTGTGCTCATTCCTAACTTCAGGTCAATTTAAACAACTGCAGGTGGGAGAGGGGCGGCCAGGCTGCCCTCCCTTCGAGCCGAGCACACTGGGACCCCAGTCGTGGGTGGCAGTTCTCTGTGTGTGTGTGGGGGTGCTCAGGGTGGTCCATCCCTGGGCCATGTCACAAGGGTGGCCAACATGATGAGGTTCCACTTGAAGCTGCAGCAATTCAAGGACCATGGAGAAGAGCAAGGGACACACTTGGCATAAAAAAATTGGGCAGAGAGGTCAACCCTCACCTCTCGCCACAGCTACAGGCTCTCAGTCCCTTTCTGAGTGGTCTTGCCACGTGCTTCCGGAGACGAGAAGCAGGCAAGCCCACCCCCTGCCTCTGTGAAGGACAGAGGGAGGCAGTTCCTCCCAGGCCTCATGGTCCATGGGCACTCAGAGCAGCCCTTCAAGTCTGGCCAGGCTCCTCACAGCACATCAGACGAGGAGGCAGACAGGGAGGCCACGCGACCTGCCTGTCAAAGGTCACAGCCAGCATGCAGACCCAGATGAGCTGACTCAGGGCTCCACAGCGCCCGCCCCCAGCAGGCAGCAGTCCCCATAGGCTAACCTGCTGGCTGCGTCCTCCTCCGTCCCTGTGTCTAGCACACTGCTCAGGTTGTGCTCGGCCTGCGTCTCCTCGGGCACCTCCTCCAGCCCCTCTGCCTGCCGCACCGACAGCCGGTAGTTTTCCAGTTCGATCCTTTCCGGGGTGCCCCGCAGTCTCTTGGCGACGCTAGGCTCCTCTAGGCCATTCACGCTTGGGCCTGCAAGACAAGCAAGAAGCAAAGTTCTAGGGTCAGCAATGGGGATGACGGAAGGAACCTTCCCCTGGAAGGAGGGGCAGCCATCCTGAAAGGCTGGGGAGCTGGATGCCACAGCGGTCAACAAGGCTGGGGCCCCCAGAGCCCAGAGGATGCTGGTGTCTGTGTTGGGGGGTGGTGCAGAAGACAGAAGGCCCCTCATCTGCCCTGCAGGTAAGCCTGGGGAGCAGTGGACACTGGCTTGGGGGAGGGTCCAGGCTGGACCTGAAGGAAAGCAGCCTGTCGAGGGGAGAGTCCTCCCACTGCCCCCACCCCTCGGTCCAGGACACAGTTGGGGTTTGAGCACTGCACCTGGCTGGTCAATGGGGGGTCCAGGGAAGCTGTGCTGCGGAGCTTCTCACACCATGCAATTGTCTGTCTCATGTTGAGATTCATGGTAAAGTCTCTTTGTTCCATGGGACCCCCCTACATGGGCAACTGCATCCACACAGAACAGTCAGGCCCCCTCATTCCTGGTGATGCCAGCTGGACGGCTTGGTTGAACTGTGCTTGTCAGCTCTGTGTTGTAGAAGGACCTTTCCCCATTGGAATTAATAAGCAGATTTGCACAGTTGTGGATGGAGACCCTGGACTACCTGTTCCCAGCACCCCTGTGTCCATGGTCTGAAGATCACTGATGACCTTGCCTGGGTTGGCTGTTACTCTGGGAGGCCCACGGCAGTGCTTTCTAGACTATAGCATTCCTTTGTGAAGAACTCTTGAGGACCGCAGTGGGCACATGGACTCTGAAGAGCTCAGATGTCAGATGTCACCGCCACGCCCCCTCCACTCCCATCTCCATCCTCACACTTCCTGATACATCTTGTGACCCCACACTCGGGCAAAAGAGCCCCCCCCCCACTCTTGCCTGTGCCCACTGGGACAAGATGCAGCACGTGGATGCAGAGTCACACAGACCCCCCAAGACACTGGACCACACCAGCAACTGGCTGAAAGATCTTAGGAAAATCCCATGACACGAAGAGTGCATTTCCTGATCTTCAATGAGGACAGTCCTGTGCCCAGGGTTACTGTGCATGTGAAGGGGATTATATTCACACACACACACACACACACACACACACACACATGCACAAGGGCCGTCCCCGTGCCCACGTACACCACCCTCCTCTACTATGTTCACCATGTACACGGCAGCATTCCGCACACGAGCTAGGTGATACGTCTTGAGGTCCAGCAACCTTTTCACTGCCAAGTTGTACAGGTCTCCTGTATCCATTTGCCCTGGACTGCAAACGGCAGTTACTGCACAGAGAAAGCCGAGGGAGAGCACGACAAAGGGACCCCAGGAGGAAGCAAGCAGGCTGTGGGGCTCGCATCCCGCCAGGGCGGGGTCCCAGCTTCTGTGACACCCCAGGCTCTACAGAACGACACTGGGTTTGACTGGTCAAGTCACACCGCCAGCCTCAGGTGACAGGTGGTCTTCCGGAGAAGCTCAGAACTCAAGGAAAGATGGAAGGACAGGATTGAAAACCACTCCTCACACGCCAACTGTCTACTTGTCTATCCGTATGCTTACGTGAGGCACAGAGAAAAGAATGTTGTGTGGATGCAAGAGGGAGACACTGAACTGCCAGGAGTCAGCGGTGACAGATGGACCGAGGAGGGGAAACGCGACAGGGATGAATCAGAGCTGTCCCAGGAGACCTAGCCGGTGGGAGGGGACAGCCCACAGCCCAGGGAGTCCTTTCTAGAAGGCCGACGGGCTTGTCCACACCACAGGCCTATGCTCCCCGTCTGCAGGATCCCAGGGAACTTTTGCTTTCATGTTAGTTTTCTAGTGTTAAATTCTTTTTGCTGCTATTATTGCAGCATCTCCCATGGGTGCTTTTCTGGCACGTGGGAATCCTGGCACATATCATTCTCTCTAAGGCACATACCCTGGTCTCCACTAAAAGACTGTCCCAGAGCTCTGTGTAGCTCTCCAGGTAATATGTCTTTCCTGTGCTGAGACACCTCACAGGGGAAGCTCAATCGGGCCCAACCATCTGCTGCGTCAGCCTGTGGGAAGCTGCAGCTGTGACAAGCGCACTGGGGTTTGCTGGTGCTCTTTAGTCCCTGCCAGCCAAGCTCCAGCTGAAACTCTTGCCTTCCCAGCTGGCCACCCGCCTCCACACACCTGTGCACACAGGGGCGCCACAGGGGCCGCCCGAAAAACAGGAAGGCCCCTGTGATCTGCCCAAGGGAAGCAATCTGTCCACAAGCCACTCATGCAGCTGATCACATATGCGGCAGGTAAAGAGAAGGATGGCCCCACAGGTCAGCCCGGCCCAGGCCTCTCTCCTCCCTCTGCCTTGCGCACCCTCTGCAGGCCCCCCTAGGACTCAAGTTCATCTGTATCACGCCAGCTACCCTCTGAGCACACCTCAAACGGGGATGGGGACTCGGGGAGGAGGGTGCCCTCTGATGCAGAGCACTCCCAGTTGTCTCTGCCCCTGGGCACATTTTTAATAAACTGCCCATAATTCAGCTATCACAGGGACAAACCTGCCCACCCCTACCCCTGCCTTCAACAAAAGGCCGTCTGCTCTGCAGCAGACTCCTGTTGAAGACATCTCCCTCCCCCCAGGTAGCCCAAGATTTGTTTCTGGAAATGAGCCAAGTTCCATCAGCAGGCCCACAACCACCATCTGAAACACAGGCTCTCATCTGTCCACCGTCCTTGAGACTGGCCTGGAGACTGGCCAGTCCCTGAGACTGACCAGTGTCTGGGCAAGGGCCCTGTGAGGCTGATGGAGGAGAGCACAAAGCCCTTTCCAGCGGCCAGCCGGGCACCACAAGGCACTGTCCAGTCCCGACTCCATCCTGCAGGGGCCATGAGGCGGCACAGAAGGCCCTGGGGGACAGGGTGTGGGTGGAGCCAGACCACTCCCAGGCCCCGTTCCCGGGAAGCTGTAACCCTGCTGTTCCTCTGACTCTCACGTGGGTGCTGACAATTCAGCTTCACTAAACCCCATCTGTGACTGCTTTCCCTTCGTTGCTATAGTGAAGAGCTTCTGGTGGTCACAGAGTCAGCAGGTGACCTCACAGCCTATCCATGCAGGCCGAGGAAAAAGCAAGGCCAAATTTAGCCAAGCCCTGCAGGGACTTAATGTGCTGTGCCGGCCAGCTCCCAGGCCCAGTCTCAGGACCAGACACACAGGACCTTCTCACTGTTCTGTTTCCCCAAACCTCTGCCGTCTGGGAACACAGCCCACTGGGCCGTGCGGTCCTCACCCTGCAGGACGCATTGCCCAGTCAGCAGAAAGAACCCAAACTCACACTTACTCTGATGACCCCAGCATTTTCTGGAAGCCCCACCAACAATATGGCTGATTGTTGTCCTGAAATCCTGTCAGATCAACCAGCTTCCATGTGTTCTAGCTTATTTGCTCCTGACAACAGCCTTATGAGATAAGGGGAGCAGGGAGCCTTTCGTCCATGTTTTCTAACTTCATTAGACAGAAAAGCTGAACCTCAGAGAGACCACTGACCGGAGATGGCAGGGTGACAGGCTGCAGGGCTGGAGCCCAAGTCAGCGCCTTCTCTGCACATGTTCCCTAGCCCGGCTCTGTTCTCTGAGAATGACCATGTTCCAGGGTGCAGGGCGGTCCACTGTGGGTCATAAAAGACCTCTGGGCCTCTGTTCTAGAACGCATTCTCAACATCTGACAGCGTCCGCAGCACCTGCAAGGTGCTCCCACACGGGGCTGTGGGCTGACAGCCTGCCAGGGTGGAGACCCTGCATCACTGCCTTGGTTCTCCCACGCCCTCCGCATGGTCTCCCACAGGGAAGGACCACATGGAAGCGGATTTCACGCCTGCATGCTGTGCTCACTTCTGACTCTAGTCTAGAACGGTGGTTGTCAACCAGATGATCTTCTCTTTTGGGGTCTCCTGGCAACATCCCAACCTGGGAAGGGGTCCTGGCATCCACGGATTCTACAAACAGCCGACAACACACAACACAGAAGTATCTACCCAAACGTCAACAGCACTGAGCCCGGAACGCTGCCTGAAGTCACAAGGGACTGTCTCCAACCTCAAGCTCAAGGGGCCAGCCGCCCGCCAGATGCTGGACCGCAGCCTGACGGACAAGGTCGTTAGGATGGAGCGGTGAGCTCAGACATCCCCCTCTGCTGCCCACCTCTGCTGCTCAGGTGAGGCATCCTGACCCCAGAGGGCAGTGAGTGGAGCAACCCCCCAGGAAGGACCACGCCAGGCATACAGGGCCACGCGCTGGGCACACCACCCCACCCTTCCCAGTCCTCCAGCGTGGCCTGGCTCACAGGAACTGTCCATCCCTGCCACGCAAGGGCTGCCCACACACCCGCCCGGCCCTCCAGAGCGGGGAACAGAAGCCCACAGGTCCGCCAGGAGGTCCGCTCACTAGCCCAGGGAGGAAACCAGACTTGGAAACACGATGTGGAAAAACACTGCTTCGTTTTCCGTGTCCCCAGCTCTCTTCATTTTTCCATTTCCCAAAACATCCTCTGCGGGCTCGCAGGGCCCGTCGCAGCATGCCTGCCTGCAGCTGGGCCCGATGTGCTCAGGCCTCTGAGTGCTCATGTGCCAACCGGAACGGCAGAGCCCAGACGGCAATGATGCATGCTCCCTGCTCAGCCGGGTTTCAGGGTCATTTGATGTGAGTGGAGTCTGGAGGGGCCCAAACTCAAGACAGATGAGAAGGTCAGTGTTTCCTGTCCTGATGATTCTGCTCCAACTGTCAGTACAGAATCGGGCAGCCCCCATCTCTCCCTCTCCTTCGGCAAACCCCGCCCAGGGCGCCCGGCCGGGCCACTGCTGAGAACTGTAGAGCAGTGCGTCAGCTGCACCACCCTGGGGGCCTCTTAGGAGATGTGATAAAATGCGAGAGCAGAGGAGAAACTGGGGCCCAGGGAGCAGCACTGATCACCCCCCTGAACACAAGCCTGTCTCCTTGGGACTGACAGGCAGGAGGGTCCCAACGGACCCTCCTGGGGAGAGGTTGTTCCAGTCTATCCTCACTGACATGACTTCAGGCTTGGTTTCACTCGAATTCATCAACGAGAGCTGATACGGAGAAAACGAGGAGGAGCTGGCTCAACATCACTGCTCTCCTCCTCGGTCTCTTCTGACCATCCCCTTCACGTACCAGGGATGAATGCCCTTGGCTCTCAAATCCACCCTCTTTGCAAAGGCACATCCCCAGCCAGGGGGTGGCGGTCACTGCTAAAAAGCTGGGGACGTGTATTTCCTGGGAATAACCACACGCTCATGGATGACACAGGGCACTCAGGAATGTCTTTAACGCGTCATCTCTGAGGAGCCAATACGCAGCTCTTCCCTCTCCCCAGCAGACAAGCCGAGGCTGGAGGCCGGACAGTGCCAGGGCGGTGCTATGTCCTGCGGGCAGACTCCACCGGCTCCGCCCAGGTTGGTTACGTGGCCTCGATCCAGTCTGCAAAATGCTGCCTTCCTCGCAGCTACAGGGGAGTGCTGCGTCTGGACAGCGCCTGGCACAGAAGTGCTGCATGCCTGCTGCATCAACATTACACGTCCTCCTGAACCGCGCTCTGAGTTTCTGTGACACCAGCTCCAGCAGCAGGTTGACCGGTACAGTCACTGGGGAAGCCCGACATGCCAAGCTTCACTCTGTTTTTATTTGACAGGGACTCCAGGGCAGAGATGGGTCATCCTGGCTGTAAACATCACAGCCCTTGGCGTGGTGTCTGCAGTCGCCGGGAGCACAGCCATCAGCTCAAGGCAGCCGCCGAGCCCTGCGACTCCAGGGCTCCAGCCTCCACTGGGGCCGGCTGCCCACACCTGCACCCGCTCCCCATGGGGCTGGGCCTCCAGCAGTGCTGAGGCCCCAAGAAAGCTCTGCCTCACTGAAGGCAGGCAGGGAGCTGGTGCAGAGTGACCCACGGGAGACCGAACCAAGGGTAAAACCTCTTTTAAAGGAAGAATCTACTGACCCAGAGAGGTGTGTTGGTAGCAAATGCTGGGAGGGAAATTTCACAACAGGTCTCTCCTACCTGGAGGTCCTTCTAGATCCTGACTCGGTTCTAGGAAACAGGGACACAAGAGTAAACAGGCTGCTGTAGCCGTACTGGGACAACCTCAGCTGTACTGTTCCCCTTCGGGGTCTCAGATCCCTAGTCACACTTTCAGGTCTGACCTCTGAGAAGCCACGTAGCCCCAGGAGGGTCGCCCTCTCGGGAACTCACCTCCAAGGATATGAGGGGTCAGCACCATGGAAGAGCACGAGAGCTGAATGACGCACGCCTATCTGGGCCTCTGCATGCAAACAGCCCCGATGCTGTCACACGTCTGAGGCCCAGGCCCTCCCGGGGCCCCGGGCCTTGCCTGGCAGCCTAGGTCTACAGGGGCCCCAGTGAGGCCAAGTCTCAGGAAGTTGGCTGTGATGGAGGTCCAGGCACACCAGGACCCGGGGTGCAAGAACTCAAGAGAAGCAGGTGCCTGATTGGAGGGCCCAAGCTCTTCCGGAGACCGGGGCCCCTTAACACAAAACAACTACCAAAGACCCACAGTTCCAGGTAAGGACACCGTGAAACAACACTGGCATGGTGGGAATAACCCTGATGCCTTACACAAGCACAGAAGAGGAGCTCAACACACACACCGAGGACAGGCTCATGCGGTCAACGTACAGTCCACAGTGAGCTGGCAAGGACAGAGAGGTGAAGGACACGTGAGAGCTAACAGAGGTCCCGACTGGACTGTGAGGACTTTCCTGGTCATCACCCACACAGCCCCAGGAGCCCCGGAAGGCATCCCCAAACTGCCCTTTGCACCAACAAGAGGTGTCTGTGAGTGATGGGGGCACTCTGACCTCCCCTGTGGACACTATCAAGGGCGAGGTCAAGTTTGCTTGGCTTGAGTTAGGGCTTGGGTGGGTGGGAGAGGGGGTGACTTGCCCTCTCAATCACTGTCTTTCTTGGAGCAAAGCCTTGTCCCAGCAAAGCTCCCTTGGCCCAGAGGAGCTGTGGAGCATGAGGCACAACCCGGCACCACGCCTTCATCCCCACAGGTCCTTGGGATGGTCTCCTAGCCAGCACTCGCTGGGTGCAGGGCTGGACCCTAAGGTGCAAGGTAAGCCCTGGTTCGGGAGTCTTGGGGAAGTCTCAGAGCTCTCCAAAAGGGCCTGGGAGCTAGGCACTAGTTTCCCCAAAGCCCTGTGCAAGCCACTACACCCCAGAAAGGCCATGTGGGGGCTTGTCTCCAGTGTGTTCCTCAGGGCGGGACCCAGGGTCTGTCCCGCGCTCCCGTCCGCACACAGGAGCCCTCTCGGGGAGTGCGCCAGTCAGGGAGACAGCCAGGGAGCTGCTGAGAAAAGAAGAGACTGGGTCTCAAGAAGTTTCGGGAAGAAACAGACCCAAAGGGAATTCTCCACGGTCTTCACCCGCTCTTTCTCTCCCGGCCTTTTGCAGAGGCCAGGACAGACCCGACTGACTGATTTCTGAGAAAGGGGGAGAGGAGGCAGGCAAGAAGAATTCGGGACCCAGCAAGGTGCTGCAGCTGTGCGGGCACCCAAGAGTGGAGGGGAGAGGCCCTTCAAGCCAGACCCCGTCTCCTAGAGCACAGCTGTGTAGACGGGGTGCTCAGTGCCCCTCACCCCACCGTGGCACCCTCTCAGGGCCCGACTCAGCACCCAGACTGGCTACGCCTGGCTCCACGGGACGCACTGCCAAGGTCACAGCAAATGTGACAGGGTCTTGGAGGCTCAGTCCTCCAGGCTCCAGCGGTCAGGCAGAACTGGTCCCCCAGCTCAGGGTCCATGTCACAGAAAGAAACAGAGTCGGGAGGACAGACCTGGACCATCCCTATGGCCTGAGAGCCTCAAGCAGAGGAGAGGTGCCTATGTGCTCCTGGGTCTGGCACTAGCTCGTCAGGGGGAGGGCACTGGCCCGGGGCCCCGGCAGACACTGGCTCAGGGGGAGTTTCTGTTCCTCACCTGCCCGTCCCCCGGGGCCTTCATGCAGGCTGACTGGATGTGCAACACAGGTGGCATCTTCCTCCACGAAGCAAGCAAATGTCTTCCAGCATGCTCTCCCACCCCCAGAACAGGGGCCTTTCCACTGACAGGAACCTTTACTTCAGGTATAAACACCCTGTCTCCCCATTTCAGTACACCCACACTCTCTCCCGACCCAGCCCCGGAGCCAGAGTCCTGAGGCACAGTGTTGTCAAGCCCACTCCGAGACCTGCCTGAGGGGGCCCTTCCCACCCTCCAATCAGGAGAAAGGGGAGGAAAAGAAATACTCAGAAACCTGAAGATTGTTTGGAATTTATTCTCTTAAATAAGAACGGTAACATTTGTTAAAAAAAAAAAAAATTAGAAGCACAACACCTTAGTTTCACAGAAAACAGTTTCACAGAAAAAACAAAGTTACACAATTAAATAAAAACAGCTCACAAAGAAACACACCAAAACTCACAACAGCACACATTAAAGGCAAGCACGACGCTTCACAGAAGGCAGGCCGGAGGTAGAAAGGCGGGCATCCCTGACACAGCTCTGGTCTCCATACCATGCCTGGAGATCCACTGCTGCTTAACGGCTCAGGAAAAGTGGGGTGTGGAACCCCTTAACTAACTGGTCAGGCCTTCAAGGCCACGCTGAGGCCACTCTCAGGACGGACTATGGGATTCCACTGTCTACAGACACACAACACCAAGAGACAGCAGGAAGCTGCAGTAACAGGCCCAGGGAGTCAGGCATGCCTTGGAAGCGAAGCGGTCCTCAGGGCCCCTGAGAGAGAGCCCTGTGCCCCTGGTCTCCGGTGCTGGGAGTATGCACTGCTTGCTTTCTGAGACCCTCACCCCGCAGTCTCCACCTCCACCAGGAGCCCGGCTTCTCTGCTCCCTCCAAACCCCGACCGGAACACTAAGCTAGGCAAGGTCCCCAGGTAAACCAGAACCAAGGAAAGAGAAGCTTTAGAAAAAGCTCCACTAGGATTGTGATTATTACTCAGGGCATAATATGTAAAAGTGTACTTATACACATGAAGCTAAACCGGTACAAGCGCATGTGTGTATATATGTAAACGTGCATATATCAAACACCTGCTACACATGAAGCTAAAGCCGTACAAGCACGTGTATGTATATATGTAAACATGCACACATCACCATTTGCTACGACTCTCGGGACCGGGCAGGGAAGCTGGATGTGGAATTCTCTGCCTCACTAACGGGTTTTCCAGAAACAGAAGCAGGCTTGGGAAGCAGTGGGAGATCTGGTAATGACTCCCTCCTAGTGGCAGAAACCCAGGATGGGTCAGGGTCGTCCTGCCATGCGACCGTCCCAGCTGGTGAGGTAAACACCTGGTTTCCGAGTGCTCCCTCAGCATGCCCACTACGGAATGCAGGTGCCACTCAGGGCAGGCAGTGCCCAGCCAGACAGCCTCGTGTGTTAAGGTCATCTTTCTGTAAGATGACAGACAATGAAGCCTTCTCCCCGTCCCCTGTCTGTCGCAGGGCCTGGAAGGACAGTGTTTCTGATCCCCATGACCCCCACCTGTACACTTCAGTTCTGGTTCCCCATCATACGAGGTGTAAAGGATGAAGAGAGGGTCTCAAAACCCGCAGGGTCTTGTACTCAAGGGGAAAACGTACCATCTGGGGTTTTCTTTCTCTACCTGTTCTCCAAATGTTTCCTACAGGCAGGTACTCTGAGGCCAGGGTAAGGAAACCTGTGCCAGGTCCACGAACCTACAGCAGCCAATGTAAGAAGCTCGGAGACAAACTAGTTACAGACTGAGAACAGAAAAGAGGGTTTCTACATCAAAAGCACACACAGACAAAGATGTTAAACTAGGCAGCAGCCACAGGCCAGGCTGCCAGAGACAGAGGACACTGGACTAGGTTCTTACTCACAGGTTGCGTTTGTATTTTTGGCAACAGTAGTAATTTTGTGGTGGAAGAGGCGAACACAAGGGAATGGAGGGAAACGCCACAGACTAAAGGGGGCAGATGCACAACAGCCGACCAGTCACGGCTCCTCCAGCCCCACTTTTCAGGGAACAGGGACCCAGGTGTGAACCACTCTCCATGCACCACTCACTCCTGCTCAGAGTGCAGCCCAGGGCACGTGCCAGGACCTGGCCTGACAAATGCCGTCCACAGCACACATTCTGAAGCCCTCCAACACCTGAATTATTCTGAATCTTTTCGAAACAAGGTTCCAGTTAACCAAAACTTTAGTTTGGGATTTTTTTTTTCCTATTAAAGGAGCAGAAAAAATCAACGTCATGCCACGTGTAACAGGCACCCATGGCCTGCTCCTCTCCTATGGAGGAGAAGTGCTGGCACCCTGGGGTGTGTCCACACTCAGAGCTGTTGTTCTGAAAGCCCAGGCCTCCAAGGGCAGGACCCCAGTGCTCTGGGCACTGGCTCACTGCTGCCCACAGGGTACCTCCAACCAGGGCTCACATCCTAAACCCCGCGTGCTGTGAGAGGTGCGTCTCCCTCAAAATCAAGAAGGCCCACAGGCCTTTGATTCAGTCACAAGCCCAGCTCTCATCTTCTATCCCTGCTTCAGAGAAGGTTCCTCTTCTCTACGGAACCCTTCACTCTCCACAGCTCCTAAAATCCTGAAGTCCACCACACTTCCAAAGCAGACAGACGGACAGCAAACTGAACCAGATCGAGTGCATGACCAGGAACTGCCTGACCCCCGCTGGCTTCATTCTTCTGCAGATGTTCACAAAAGGCTGAGCGCCCTGGCTGTGTGCTGAGCCCCAGGTAGTGCTCACCTGCTCCAAGGCACGTGCCCGCGTCTCTGCCAGCCCCTCCCCGACTCAGGGGCCCTCAGCACCTCATAAGAAAGATGGATTATAAGGAGTTTAAGGGGTAGCAGCAAGTCCTTTGTGGCTTAAACATGGCTATAAAATGTTGGTCCAACCTGCAGGGAACTTGCAGACTTGCCCAGATCAGAGCGAGGCACACGCAGCAGCAGAGCTGAGCTCTCCTACGTCCTGCCCCCGGGGCTCCATCAGTTCCAAAGCACGGTCAGAGGAGCAGCACTACCAGCCTCTCGTCTGAGGACCAAGAGGACCACCCTGTTCCCTTTAGGAATCCTACGACCAACTCCTCTCCATCTAGCTGATAACCTGTCCTTTCCACGTGGTGATTTCTGAGGATGGGAGGACACCTGTGACAGGTGACAGCAGGGCCCTGATGACTTCCTCTCCCGCCGGCTGCAGTGAGCTGGCCTGTGATCAGGCGGGGCTGCACAGGTCCCGGGGACCACCCGCATCTGTGGGACTGTGGACACCCCACGCAGGCTGCTTTGGCAGAGAGTAGGGAGAAGCAGCTTTAAGGGAAAAAACACTATTCTTCACAACAAAGCTGGTTCCGTGAGCCCTTCTCTTCCTGCCTTCCGAGATCAGAATAAACGTGTTTTTAGAAGTGCGGGTGGCGGCACTCGCCTCCTGATGCAGGAAGAGGTTAAAGTGGAACCAGCCAGGGCCTGTCCTTTAGCGGTCACAGGTGTGGGGAGAGCAACAGAAGCTGCCCCAGACACCAGTGCAGCGAAGGGGACAGAGGAGATCCAGTGCAGGTGAGCGTGTGTGCAAACCCTGGGGCATTTTCACAGTTCCACGCTCGGCCTGAGGAGCCCACCAAGAGAGACTACAGGAAGGCCCTGCCGCCCTGGCTTGTCATGTAGGTCAGTGCTAAAAGTAGCCAGCTCTGAACTCCTCTTCTCTGGACAGGCCTGGGCTTGGCCCCCAGGTGTCTGATGGATGTGAGCAGGTCCCAGGGCCCGGCAATAAAACTCTGAGACTTGGAACAGACGGCACGAAGTGTGGGCAATGCCGCTGACCTGATAGTGCCCTACTGGCTCACAGTGGGCCAGTGAAACTCCCCTAGGATCTGCACCAGCACCTCCGACAGCCCATAGAGGAAGGGGACTCCGAAAGCAAGCAGCTGGCACATGAAAAAGGAGTCCGGAGGGTTCTGGGCCGCCTGATGCCCAATCGATGAAATGCTGCACTGGAGGTGCTGGCTCATCCCCTTGGCCTTGTCGCAGAGGCCGAGCGAGTGACGCACCACCCAGCCAAACAAGGAAGTGAGGCTACCTGGGCTTCTCTCGGCAGGGCTGGCACTGGTGCTGGGCCGTCCGCTGGCATCTGTGGCCGGGCTGTCCTGCAGAGGTCCCCGGGCCTCCTAGGAGAGGAAGATGACTGAGTGAGGCACAACATCTGAAGAAACGGTGACACCTCACTGTGGTCAGTTGCCCTCACCAGGCAACCCAGAGACGTGCCAGGACACACGTCACGGGGGTCGCGGTCCAGAGGTGCCTGGTACCCCTTCCCACCAGCTCTCTGCCACCCCAGAGGCCCTCCGGGAAGCAATGGTCAGCTGCTTACACACACAGGAACACCCCATCAGAGAGGATACCAAGCTCACTTGAAGAGACAAGCAGGGAGCTGACTATGCTCAGACTTTTAAGATAAAATTCTTAGATAAGTGGCCCCCAGAATAAACAAAGTTAAAGGAGTTGGCTACAGAACATTTATTTTGAGCCAAGTCCTTTTCTAGTGTCCTCCTCTCAGGAAAGGTGCAACTTTCAAGGCAAATGGCTTTTTTTACACAGAATGAGCAGAAGGGAGGGATGCACAGGTTCTTCCCAATGTAGCTCAGGTGCTGGCAAGAACACTTCCATAGTGAAACTCAACATTCGATGAGGCCTGACATGCTGCCCCTCCCCAAATCGGACCAAGACCACTTCTCAGACCCTCCCACTCACAGGAAGGGCTGCTTGCTGGTCACCCAGGGTCTGTTGGCCATGCCTGAGCTGTCACCACACTGGACGGTCACCTGCTGCCCCCACCCTTGCAGCCCAGCCCCGTTACCTTTCCAGACAGAGGCGCCCCTGCCGGTCTCTTCCTCTGCGCAGGGCCAGACAGCCGGTAACAGTAGTGTGGCTTGCAGTAGAATTTACCTGCAGGCAGCGAGGGGCAGGGGAAGAGGGAGTGAGCAAGTCTCTGAAATGCCGGACTTGACCCCTGGTCTTGGCACACGCGTCCCCACTGCCCCAGCCCGACCTTGCCCAGGCCGGGGTTCTCATCCAGGAAGGCCAGGCCCTCCTCTTCCCTGTGCCCGGATGTGTGGAGGCCACAGAGCCATCACCCAATCAGGGCTCAGAGCAGAGACTGCAGCCTGTACAGCGGGGCCAGCAAACAAAGTGGCTGTGTGTGCAGAACAAAGATGCGGTCACATGAAGAGCCGGAGGAGCATTTCTGGGGGAACCGAGAATGAACACAAGTGCTGGAGGCATGAAGGCTGCCACGGGTGGGGCAGCACTGGACATTAGCTCTGCCGCGGCCCTCTGGCACCCATGTGCGACCTGGCGCTGGTCAAACTGCAGCTCAGATCCTTAGTGGGTCATATCAGCATTAAAGACAACGCAAAACAAATTAAAAAATCCTACAACTGACCGTGACTAGAATGAAACAGAATTAAGCCTAATAAAAAGCATCGGCATGCACAGGGCATCCTCAGGGTCTGGCAGTAGTTCCCAGTGCTCAGCTGTGCCCACCTGGGCTGTCTGGGTCCTGGTGTAACATTGCATCCTATTGCATAACATGTGTCCTGCTGCATAACGCGTGTGTCCTACTTTATAACACGTGTGTCCTGCTGCATAATGTGTGTCCTACTTCATAACGCATGTCCTGCTGCATAATGTGTCCCAATGCATAACGTATGTGTCCTGCTTTATAACGTGTGTCCTACTGCATAACACGTGTGTCCTGCTATATAACATGTGTGTCCTACTTCATAACGTGTGTCCTGCTGCATAATGTGTGTCCCACTGCATAATGCATGTGTCCCACTGCATAACCCGTGTCCTGCTGCATGTGTGTGTGTTGCATAATGTGTGTGTCCTGCATAATGTGTGTGTCCAGCTGCATAACATGTGTCCTACTGCATAACGTGTGTCCTGCATAACATGTGTCCTGCTGCATAACATGTGTCCTGCTGCATAACGTGTGTGTCCAGCTGCATAATGTGTCCAGCTGCATAACACATGTGTCCCAATGCATAACGTGTCTTGCTGCATAACATGTCCCACTGCATAACGCATGTGTCATATTGCATAACGTGTGTCCTGCTGCATAACGTGTGTGTCCTATTGCATAATTCATGTGTCCTATTGCATAACGTGTGTGTCCTGCTGCGGGTGGGACCACAAGCTTGATTAATGCCAAACTTGGCTTTTCCCTTGATGTTGGTAGTGGAATTCAGTCACAGAGGGGTGTTTTTTCCTTAACCTTTTCTTTACTCCACTTACAGTCAAGGTTTTGAAAATTAAAGGATAGACCCTGTTAGAGGAAAACTGTTGAAACCCGAGTAATCCCATTCATCTTTCTCATTTGGAAAGAGCAACTCCTTTAACAAATGAACTTTGCTATTCTTGAAGTTAAAAATAAGAGGACTTAACAAAGAACACGATAGAAAAGATCAATGAAACTGACATCAGACTAATTCAGAAAAACAGAGAGAAGACTCAAATAAATAAAATCAGAAATAAAAGACATTACAACTGATACCACAAAAATACAAAGGATCCTAAGAAACTACTAAAAACAACTATTTGCCAATCTAGATAACCTAGAGTAAATGAATAAATTCCTAGAAACATAATTTATCAAATCTCAGTCATAAAGAACAAAATCTGAACTGACCAGTACTGAGTAAGGAGACTGAATCAGGGATTAAAATTCTCACAAAACAGAAAAGCCCTGGACCAGATGGTTTCACTGATGAATGCTATCAAACATTTATAGAACTAACAACAAGTCTTCTCAAATGTACCCAAACAACTGAACAGGAACACTCCCAACTCGTTCATGAGACCACCATCACCCTCATACCAAAAGCCAGATAAGGAGCCTGCAAGAAAACTACAGACCAATATCCCTGATGAACACAGGTGCAAAAATTCTCCACAAAATATTAGCAAACCAAATTGAACAGCACTTTGAAAGGATCAGACACCATTATCAAGTGGGATTTATTCCAGGAAGGCAAGGAAGCCTCACCCACTGCTCTCCAGAGTCCACCCAGGACAGTTGAGGTCCTTCCTGACACTTTGAGCATCATGGATCCCTCCTCCTCTGCACTGTACAAAGTCAGTCTGCACTGTGCCCTGGAGCCCGCGGCCACTCTCATGCTGCCTGCTGCCAGGGCATCTCATGCAGGACCCAGTCTGCTTACACTCTATCCATTCCCACAGAAGAATGTGTCTCCAGGTGTGGCACAAAATCTAGGGGCAAAAATACTTGTGGATCAACTCGCTGGAGCTGGAGGGATCCTTCCAGGCAAACTTCACAGACAGAAACACTGGGCGGGCTTCACTCACCAAGCCCACCAAGGAGATCAAAGGCGTTCTCCAAAGACCCGGAGTGTGGGGTGCAGAAAGCTGCACCCCTGCCCTCGCTTTCCATTCGTGTAACTAGAGGACCAGAGGCCGCAACAGTAAGAGCCAGCTTTCCTCAGTTCCTCTCACTCACTATTCAAAGAGCCTGGATGAGTGACTATCTCCTCATCACAGGGCGGTCCCCTCCTGTGTGAAGGCCACCCCACCAGGATTCACTCCCCTTCCTATTCACCCGCATCTTTTCATCACTTTTGGATCAGTAAGACGGCCTCTCAGAAAGTCCCTCTGGAGTCCTGCAGGAACAGGTGTGAAATCATCAATGTCTTGGGTGACTGTTTCCAGTTAACCCCAAGGTTTTTCAGGTGGCAGACATGCCTCTCCATTAGGTTTTCATTACCAGTCTGCATAATCCTCCACCTTCTGCCTTATCAAGGTCATTCCATTATGAAATCAACAAATACCACAAAAGGCCAGGGCTTGACCAGCACAGTAAACCAGACGAAGGCCTGTGCCACGTGCTCTCAATCCCACAGAGATGCAGATGCAAGAGAGAACGGGTAACAACGCACACAACTCGGGCACCTTCAGAAAGCCAAAGTCCGAGAACAGTGGCCAAGGACACAGTTTCAATGTGCTGCCACTGACCTCAGGCAAGAAACACAGCTTCTATAAGACTGTGATTCTTCTTCTCTAAAGTAAAGACAAAAAGACTTATTCTCCTTGGGCCCCTTTTGTCTTAAGATCCTGCCGTGAGGTAGGAGAGCAGGTTATCTGTGAAGCCAGGGCAGGCGTTTAGGTAAACACATGCCCTTCTCTTCTCCATGGTCACCAAGTCATCTATGACATTGCCTAGTGACTCTATGGATGGATCTACAGGACACACTCTTAGAACACAGACTAGAGAGGGGTGGGTGGGAATGCTCAGGAGAGGTGGAAAGAAAAGCATCTGTGTGAGCAAGCAGTGGGGGCCGTGTCCGGGTGCACCTCGGCATGGAGAGCTCACCGTCCTCGAGGGCATAGGCGTAGGCTGATAGGCGCAGGGTGGTGGCGCAGTGCTCACACTTGAAGCAGCTCCGGTGGAAGAACTTGCCCTCGGCGCTCAGCCGCTCCATCACATAGACCCGCTTCTGGCAGAAATAGCAGGTGTCGCTGCCTCCCAAGTTCTGCGGGAACTCCTTCTTTATGGAGCCCTGGGGGAAGGAGGCACAGGTCAGGGAGAAGTCTCCTAGCACTCCCCGGGTGCACGACCCTCACTAAGCGGCTCAGCCTGGGGAATGGAGTCTTGTGACCATGCAGCACTCGGCACTGAATCTGTTCCCCACTATTTATTAATGATCAAACCAAGTTCTTTCAACAGACTCTGATCTGATGGTGCTCCTGTGGTTCTCCATGGACACAGGCTCCTGGGCCCTAGAGCACTCACTAGGAGATTCTGTGTATACTGTTCACACAACATTCTGAACAACAATTTCAGTCCTGGAAGGTCAGTTACAAAATACAGACACCTCAAAAAAAAAAAACACACACACACACCACATGGCACATAGTGGCTGAGTAGGTCACTAGAGCTACTTAGAGCAAAGCAGGCGTGTTCTCCAGAGCCGCCTTATCCAGACAGACAGTGCCCTTAGCGTATCTTACCAGTTCCTTCTTGTCTAGAAGGGTTTTGGGTTGTTCTTTCCTTTGAAGCTGATTGGCTATCTGCTCAGCCAATGAGCTCACTCCGCCCGTGTACATCTTTATATACTTCTATTGGTTGGAGATTGTAAAATGACCAGAAAGAAGGAAAATGAGAAGGAAAAAAATAAATAAATTAAGAAGACAGGGGAAAAAAAAATCTTTGAAAGGTATAAAATGAACACAAGGTGCAGCGACAAACATGCCAACACGGTGCCCACGAGCAGGGGACAAGGTGTCAGTGTCCACACGCTGGCGTCAGCACAGGCGGGGGCAACGGCTGCAGAGAGACAATGAAATTCAGGAAGGAGAACCTGTTCTCTCTCACGTCTCTGGATGAAGTGCAGGGGACAGACAGGCAGGAGGACAGGGTGGATGTGAACAGACAAGAGTGGGAAGGGCCTATGGCCCAGTGGCTCAAATTGCATATGAAGAACTCAAGGGGACACCCCCGCCCCCCGCTCCATAGACAGCGGGCACCAGAGAGCAGGTACACCCCCGGCCTGGGAGAGGGCTTGGGGAGCTACTTCCTCATTTACTGACAGAAAGACAGCAAGGCCGACTCTCCGCCTGGGTAATCTGTGTCCCCGGGGATGACATCTGTCCTCACTGTTAACTGCTGCATTCGGAGGCCCCATGCTGGGCATCAGAGGCCCTGGCTTTACCAGGAAGAACCTTCCTCTGCCCATTCTCCCATGGAGAGTTCTGTGTTCCCCAGGGCCCTGAGGTCAAAGCCGTCCGGGCCGGCCAGGGCACTGCTGATGCCGCTGTAGGAGTCTGCGGGGCTGCTGTGGAAGCCAGATGTGCTTCCATCCAGGAGGGGTCCTTCATTAAGTTGAAACAAGATGAAAGAGAAATCCAACCACCTCAACCCTTTTTCCAGCAAAGCTGAAGAAGTCACGAGAAAACTATGCATTTCAATGGCAAGCTTTCTTGTGGAAATCCTGCCTTGAGCTCGTCTGCAGGGAAGGAGGCTGAAGCCTCGCCACAGCCCATGTGTGTATGACATTCTCAGCAGCCGTGTGCCCGCGGGTCTGAGGAGCCCTCTCTCTTATTCCACATCCAGAATGTGCAGGAGGGCTAGGGATGCCAGCAATCCTGGCAAGTAGCCGTATGGGAAGGAACCACCGGAATGAGCAGTGGCACGTCCTGGGTGGGGTGAGGACACCAGAGGAACGCTCCAGGGATACAAACCCTGCGTTAACTACGAGCACAGCAGCGGCGCATCGGGCAGTTCCCAAGGTTCAGCTGGAACTGAGGGCTCAATTATGTTTTCAATTTAAAATAAGGAGATTTCCAAAGATTAGTGCCATTTGCTCATTAACTCACAGTTTATACCCACCGGTGGTCGAGAAACCCAACTGGCTCTTAGGCCTAAGCCCTCTTTAGATAGAGACGTGAGGGGAGCGTAAGCCTGGAACAGACAGACACTCAGGTGCAGCCAAGCTGACCCCAGGGGCAGAAAACAGCACACCCCCTGCAGCAGACGAGTGAGTGCACGGACCAGACACTGCGTCGAAGGCCGTGACATGGAGCAAGTTCGGGGTCATCCCGGCTCGGCCGGGACCCTGTGCTCCCACCAGAAACCAGCACCCTCAGCAAGCGCAGCCCAGGGCTGCCTGGCACAAAAGCACCTATCACCTTCAGTTCTCTTTGTTTTTAGCATGAACAGTAGATGGTTTTCCTTTCCCAACTCTCAAGAAACAGCCGCAATGTAGCTATCTCTGGACTGACACTGTGGCCACCACACACGCACTCCATTCTGCACAGTCTGCCAGCCGCTCAAGAACAGGGACAGACAGGACGGGCGGAGGGCCCTGCCACCTGTCTGCAAACCCTGCACGTCTGGGTCAGCTCCATCGCAGGACCCAGCGGAGCTCATTCCTCACATGATTACAGTTCAAGAGGCACCTGGAATACTGGCTAGCCACCACTCCCTTTAGGATTTAATTACACTACAGTTCTTATTTTATAACGCATTAATAGGAAGGCACGTGGAGTTAAAAACGCTTTATCATTAACTGGTATGGTTGGAATATGGCGAATGTGGGCTGACATGGACTGAACTTGCTGCAGTGAAGCAAGCAGCCGCCTGAACTCAGGTGGACGCCTGCCACCCTTACATGCATGACAGACACACACAGCTGGGTCCCTAAGGAGACAGGAAGGACGTTTGTGTGGGAGAAGACTGGAGGCTGGCGAGGAAGTGGCTTTGCCCCGACGGGGCTGAGCTACCTGTCGGAGGGAGTCGGAGGAGGGAGAAGCAGGGCGGCTGGCGGAGCGGAGGCTTAGGGAAAGCTCCCACTGATCGACAAAAAATCGACGAGAAGGTTCAGGTTCTGGCTACAAGATGGAGAAAAAAAACCAAAGGAAATGTGAAATTAAAAGTCACACATGGTCCTGAACACAAAGAACTTGGCAGTTTCAGACCCTTTATCTGGATAACAAATGCAGTAAAAAAAACACTCTTAGTTCCAGAAGCAGCAATGGCTCATTCCAGGCGGTGTCCAGCCCACACATCCTGTGCGCCCTGCTGAGCCCCTCATGGCCTGAGCTGGAATCTCTCTTGGGCAGAGGGGATTCCATCAGCTCATCACTCTGCTGGCCTGACGTGGAGAGGACCACAGGACAGCAGATCTGCAGCGAAGCTCGCTCTTTTTACATAAAAGCCAGGAAAGTGGCTCCTCCTTCTTCTGGTGAGGCTGAGAGAAGCCAAGCTGACCCTGGAGCCAGTCCCCAACCCTTGCAGCCCCCATGCAGCACGTGGAGCTAGTGGGTTCAGCAGCCAGATTCTCTGGGCCCCAGCGAGGAGGGGCCGAGAACTCGGCGGGCGGTAATTGCTTCGTTTCCTGCAGGTTCGGGCTGAGATACCTGCCAGGTGCAGGGAAGAGGCACCCCTCGGCTCTGAGCTCCCCTACTTCAGCTCACACTAACTGCAAAGCTTCGGGTGTGATGGGGTGATGGAGAGTGTCACCAGCCTCTGCTTTAGAGGCTCAGATAGAAAAGATCAAACTCCCTGGACAGTAAAGAAGCAGGCGAATGTACAGCTGGATGGGGGTGGCGGAGGAACAGTCTGGCAGGGACATAAGCAGTGACCCTCGAGAGCATCTGAACGGGAGCCCTGCACTGAGGAACCTGGAAACCAGCCCCGGGATGATGAAAGTCCTGCTGCACCCCGCAGCCCCAAGCTTCTACCTGCTGCTCCTTCCAGTCTCTCCTCTCCTTCAACACTCTTCCCTCCATTCCTGCTGAGGCTCTGCTTCAATCAAAATCATCAGGACCCCCCCCCCCCAAATATGCACTCCCCAAAGCAGAGGGTTTGGCCCTGTTCAGTGAAAAGGCTGAGATTTCTTCTAGAGAGGAACCAGCCTGGGAAGACAAATGAAAGAGGCTGGGCACACGCAACAGCGAGGCCATGGTGACACAGGTGACATGGAAAGGCCACGCAGGCCCGCCTGAGGGACCTGCTTCCCGTTGCCCTGGTGGCAGTACCGAGACAACGGGGCTACTGCTACTTCCCTGATGGGCCCGGTGGAGCCGGGCCTACTGCTCAGTCATGAGCACACTTCTCAGACAGCAAAGGCAGAGAGAAGCCAAAAAAAAAAAAGAGAAGGCCCACATGAAATGAACAGGGAGAGCTGATTCTCGCTCTGGCTGCAGACTGGCATCCACTCAGGGATCAATTAAAGGGTAACAACAACCAAGAACGTTCCATAACGTCAGTAGGCTTTTACATGGGCATCTGTGCTACTCAGATTATTTGACAGCCAAGTGTGACTGGCCGTCTGTCCCTGAGTTTCTCAGACAGAGGATCGACAGCTCCCCATCACAGACTCTGTCGTCACCTTCCTTCCCTGCCCTGTCCTCTTCATCCTTGAAAACTCCCCATGCTGGTAAGAGCTCTGGCTTCCTCGGGATTTCTACCTCAAGATCCCAGACTCACGGAAGAGCAAAAAAGTTCCTCCTGCTTCTGGATCCTGACTTTCCCCTGGAGTCAAAAGCACGTATTTATGGGTGGGAAAGGGGGCGGAGGGCAGGAGGAAGAGGCCTTTCATAGGAAGCACACGTCTCAGGGTTCTTTTCTGGAGTGGATGGATGCTCTCCGGGAATGCTATTCCCATGGATCATCACTGCTAGCAAAGAGTTCTGGCTCTTGACTGGGTGACCAGAGTGTGCAAAAAGCAAGGGACAGGGGCCACGCCCACCTCCCCCCTGCCCCTCGCCCTAGCGTGCCGCGTCTGTGTGGCTGCCAGCGTCCCATGCCACGGGCATGCTTTTACCCTCTCGTGCTGGGGGCTCTGCTTGCCGCGGCTGTCGGCATCAAGATCCCCGTGTGTCTGTTGGCAACAAAGCAGAAACTTAAGCTCCATCCAAACTCTCTATCTGGACCTACTGAGTGACAGTGCGACAGAGTCAGAGTTCATTTCAACACACATCCTGTGGCCTGCTGCCCCCAGCAACCACAGCCCCATCCACATCAAAGCCCCATCACCCAAGGACAACTCCCAGCACAGCTGTCCTCCTACGAGCCAGCCGCAGGGATAAATGGCTACGGTTAGTACAAAGGTGGAGCAGACATGTTTCTTCCACACAGCAGCACACGGCCAGGCGTTCAATGGGAGGTTAACAGGAGAGGCAGGTTAGAAGGGCGAAGCTTTCCACAACAAGACATTAGGGAGGAAAGGTGGGGAGGTGGAAATCGGCTGGAGTAAATGACCATGACAACAGTCGACAGGAAGCTCCAGGGTGGGACATGGTCCCTGAACAGGAACACGGAACAGGGCGAGGAGAACAAAGAACTGTGCGCGGGAGGACGGGGCCCTGTACACAGGCCCTCGCCGTCCTGAGGAGCAGTCATGGGGCTGTGGAGGCCTCCGGTCACTCTGGATAACCCAGGACTCACTGTATGGCCCTGCGCCTATGCAAAACTGACCCAAAGTTTCTGAGTTTCTCTGGAGCCCATGAGCAGGGGGGTCCCTGAGGGATGGATGAGCCCAGGGCTCAGGTTCCAGAGTCACACACGCGGGCTCAGCTCTTGGATCACTGTTCACTGCATGACCTGGCCTCCCGGCCCCCTGCCTCAGTCTTCTCAACTATAAGAGGTTGACGCTAACGGGACCTGCCTGGGACGGTTATCATGAGAAGAGACTGAGACGACACAGGAAAATGCTCAGAAGCCTGCCTGGCTCACAGGAAATGCCCGTGGTGGTTCTCAGGCATGGACAGGGCCCAGGGCAGTCACGGCCCCACAGGGGCTCAGGGTCCAGGCCTAGGGACATCAGCTGGGCTTGCTCATCAGACACAGCACAGGGTCACCTCCTAAACAGGCTACCACAGCTAACGAAACGTCTTTCCATAGACCCTGCCTTTCTTTAAAATCAGTGTTTTATTTTACAGGGACGTGCAACACAAGTCAAAAACACTGTTCTGTAACCACACTTTCAATGGGCGTGCTGGCCACAAACATGCGTGGCCCACTCGCCATGAAGCAGTTCTCCAGTGTCTGCCTAGAGAGCGAGAAGGGTGGATGGAAGGGCAGCCATTTGTTGGCAAAAGCCAGATAAACAGGAGGCAGGCTCTCAAAACTGGAAGGAACCAAACTCATAGAATGAAGCCCTAGAAAAAGCTTCCAAAGTCTACCTGAACTGCGCCTCCCTGGGCAGCAAGACCAACATGGCTGACTCCAGCAGGGCGCATGAAAATGCGCTCAGTCTGTTGGACCTTGTGTCTGGGTCAGTGTAGCTTAAACTTTAGTTTATAGCTGCACGGTCATCTTCTCACGACATGGGGCTGAATTAAACTACCCAGGGTTTGAACGTACACTTGCTACCCTGAGGCCCACCAGTACCGGTCACCCTGGAAACGAGGGGACTCTGACTTGGTCTCTCCACCCTAGCCACCCACACAGGCAGGCAGGCACACAGGACAGCAGAACATGCAGAGGGGTCACCTGTTGGCCGCCACGTGCCCGATAGGGAGGAGGAGTAGGGGGAGGAGACAGGGTGATCACTTTTTTGGGGCAGGTCCGAGAACGCTCCTTGTCACGTCGCTTTTACACCAACAGACACAAACAGAGAGAACACAGGTGAAAAGATGGCCATGCTGAGGTTTGGTTCTGCCAAAGGCATCCTGAGACCCCTCCCCAACCCCGCGCCTCCAGCAGCACAAATCCGTGTCTCCAGCGAGCGCCCACCTTGCCTGCCGTCAGCCTCTGGTTGGAGGCGCGCTGTCTGCAGATCCGAGTCTCATGCAGCCGCTGTGGGCTCAGGACCTACAGGGCAGCACTTTCTTTCTTTTTTTTTTTTTTAGGGCAGCACTTTCTAAATCCCAGACCTGGAGCATATTCTTCTTTGTTGGTTTATCAAGAAAGTTGGGGGCAGAAGAGAGGGGCCCAGGACATACCCTCACTCACACTCGAAAGGTTCTGGGAGATGACCAGGGAAACACAGGAAAGAGCAGGAGACAGGAGACAAAAACAGCACCTCTGCCAACTGACACCACACAGTGTCTGCAGGCCACGTCCCCACATGCCCCTTCCCACGGCATCCACTTCCTGGGAGGCTGTCTCCAGTGTAGGAACCCTTTGGGGCCTAACAAACCACCAGCTTCCTAGGTCAGAGGGGCCTCAGCTTTCTCACGCCCAGACCAACCTGTGGGGTGCTCCTTGCAAAGCCCGGGAGGGGGGAGGCAGAGACACCGCTCCTGTCTGCCCCCCCAAGCCCCCAAAGGAGTCCTCCTGTGTCCCCATTTGTGTGGCACCTGGCAGTGTTCTCTCTCGGGGACTAGGTGCACAAAGCAGGCTCGTGACACCACCTCTGAGTCAGTCCTGGGATGTGTCATCCGTGACATGATGCATTCATGAGGTCGTGAACTGGGGCACGGCACCCCCCACAGCGGGGCAGGCTGACAATTCCGCTTCACACAACACACAGCACAGGTCTGATGGCTGCAGAGACCCGGCTGTGCCTTCTAACCCGCATCTCCAGTGCCCCTTCCCAGACCAGACTTGACTTTAAGGGTTCTGTTCTGCCTGGAGAAACTGGCAGTATGCACTCAACTCCACTGACCGCGACCAAAGATCACCCGGACGTGTGCAGGCAGCACCCGCACGGGCTGAGGCTCTAGGCGCCCCTGTAGCCTGGCAGGGGTCCCTGCCCTGGGCCGCTCCAGGAAGTGCCACTCAAGGTCATCTCTTTACCCAGCGACTGTGGTCCTGTCTCAGGCCACTTCTGTGATGAGTATAAGAATCTGGGAAAGTAGCTCATCTTCCCCTTCAGGAATCCTCCATTAAAGACTGACCTTTAAATCAGAGGGCCTACTCAAGGTGAAGGGTAAGTCAGTAAAACAAAAATCAATTGCTAACAAGTTTTTCTCAGAAGACCACCCCTCCCCAAGCACATGAAGAGGCAGCTTGGCTTTGTGGTGAGTCTGGACTCTGCTCCCAAGCTTCCATTTCAGCCTCACAGGCCTGCCTTATGTGCATATTAAAAGAAAGGTTAAGAAAGAAACAATCTGCCTTAAATGTCGTTCAACTAAACCTATCTCACCACCTCCCAGCACTTCCCAGCACAGGAGGGCACCATGGCCACACACCCAACCACCGCTCAGAACCCCAGTCCTCAGTGATTCCAAACCAGAGAGGGCAGACCCAGGCCGTACTCCTGATGTAGGAGGGACAGAGCAGAAGCCTCCCATGGCTGACGGGCTTCCCGTGACCGCCAGGCACCACCTCCTCTCTCTCTGCCCCACTCTACCATGTAGAAGTCACTCTACAGGAGTTTCTGCAGAAACTTCAGTGAAAATGTCTAAAAAGGATATTTTAAATGTAGCTAAAACACCAAGAAAAGTGTACACGATCACCGTCCATGGTTTGTACACAATCACCGCCCATGGTTTGAGACAAGGTAACAAACCACAGTTTGAAACTACTACCTGGATAACATTTTCCTGTTTAACACCAAAGGCCCACTGCCCCAAGCCCCAAACTCAGGATGGTCCTCCAGGGGTCATGCAGTCACAAGTCAGCCAAAGGTAAACTTGGAACAAAGGCTGTAAGAGCAAAACCCCAAAGACTCTGGAACCTCACCACGCAGTTCCAGCTGGTTTCAACACTAAACAAACAGCCCAGCCTGTTCACTGGATTCCCAAATCCAAAGGGGTTATAGAGGTCATGCGGTACTGTTAGTGAAAGTGACTACTAGTTGTGTCCAACTCTTTGCAATGGACTATAGAGTCCATGGAATTTTCCAGGCCAGAACACTGGAGTGGGTAGCCTTTCCCTTCTCCCTTCTCTGAGGATCTTCCCAACCCAGGGATCGAACCCAGGTCTCCCGCATTGCAGGCTGATTCTTTACCAGCTGAGCCACAAAGGAAGCCCAAGAACACTGGAGTGCATAGCCTATCCCTTCTCCAGCAGATCTTCGCAGCCCAGGAATCAAACCGGCGTCTCCTGCATTGCAGGCGGATTCTTTACCAACTGAGCTATCAGGGACGCCTGGTACTGTCAGTACTATCTATTAAACCTTCCTGGAGTCCACTCAAATGCACACAGATCCCTACCCGGGGCTCCAGTGAGGCCTCCAGCCAGCTGGCTCAGAGGAGGAGCGGGTGGGAAGGCCTGGGCCTGGGCAGTTCCTTTACCTGTTTCCACTGGGGGGTGGGAGCAGAGCGACCCTGCTCAGGCAGGCAGCTGGACGGCTGGCTGACCCCACGCTCCTGTGTCAGCTGTGACACACAGGCCAGTGTGGGGAGGGACAGCACATGGAGACAAAAAAAACAAAAAAAAAAACACACATTAAGGTAGCAGACACAAAGATGATTCTCACAGCAGACAGACACACATCTAAGAACTGAAGAAGGGCTCACAGAATTAATTCTAGAAAGTTACACTTATAAAGAAAAATACATAGGTTACACTTATATATATGTAAAAATGTAAGTTACACTTGTGAAAAAAAACAACAAGAAACCCCCAGCGAGGTCAAAAACAAACACAAAGGAGAAGATAGACAGAGCTGTAATTCTGAGTATCTTTTTCCCGAGCTCACTGCTCTGAGCCTAAACCACTAACTGCCACTTGGAAACTGAGGCGTGCATCTTCTGAGGACAAACTTCCTCTGGCGGACAGCACCCCACGTTCCCGAGGTGGGAGGGGGCCTGGACTGCAGGCTCCTCGGCACAGACGCCTGAAGCGAGAGGATCTGAGTGAGCACCAGACGTGAGAAGACGTTCATGTGGTGGACCCCACCCTGGTCCACAGGAATAGGGGCTGACAACATGGAGAAGGTGAAGAGGAGAGGCGCGCTTAAGCACCAGGGGTTCGGGAAGAAGCTCTCGGTGTGCACCACACTATGTCAGTACATCCTTTCACGAGAAGCCAGAGTGACTTCTGGACGAGCAAAAGGAGAGACAAGACCGGATAGACATCGCCGGCCAGCCCTCACCAGGATTCGGGAGGATGTGTGTGAGGTTAGTCAACGGAGCATCTTGATAACATGCCCACTCTTGACCTCATCAAGGACAGTCTAATAAGGCAGCTTTATCACCAGAGTATTTACCTCTGTGCTTATCATCAGAGATGAGAAACAAGTCAACATCCAGCACCAGAGGAAGGGTTAAGAAAGGCACAGAGTGCACACTTTGGAAGAGACTTGTAAGGAGTTTGGAACATGGAAATATGCCCAAAGTTACACGAAGAAAGCAGAACAGAAAAGTACATGTCAATAATGACCTCAACTATGAAAACAAAGACGTACTAATGAAAAGACCTGAAAGAAACATGGCAAAATGTTAATAACATTATAGGGGCCTTAACTACCAACATTATTTTCAGCATTTTCCTCAACAAGCAGAAGCGGAGGTTTTTGTGACTGAAGTTGATCAGGGCAAGCGTTGGTTTACCACTCATGTATGTATGCATGTGAACACACCTACGTGCAGAGACTGAGACCCCACCACGCTGTGAAGGTCCTGGGTGGGCGTCTGTCACAGACACCTGGGACCTGCCTGGTGACGACAGTAACCCTCGTCCCTCCCCACACAGACGCCGCCTCGAGCCTGGAGCCCTCGGGGGGTCTGAGACATTCCCCATCTCACCAGCTCCCTCTTCTGAGGCCAGACCAGGTACTGGAGGGTGAGCGAGGCCTACCTGTCTCCTCACACCCACAGACTGTGGGGGCGCGTTCTCCTCAAACTTGGCCAGCAGCTGGGTTGCCATGTACTTCACTTTGTTCTGGTTGCCGAGGGCCACGTCCATCCTCCGGTCGGTCAGCGTGCTCACCAGGGTGGGCCTCCCTCCTCTGTGGCCCCGGGGCGTGTCCTCCTGAGGAACATAGGTCCCGAGAGCCGCTTGTGTCAGAGCAGCCCCCCCGCCCCCCCCAGGGCCTGGCGTGATGGCTGGTCTCAAGGTTAGAGCGCTCCTTGCGGTTCTCATCTCAAAATAGACTCAGGGCGGGGGCAGCAATGAAGAGGTGCTCCGGCTTTTGCTGGAGTGATCACATCCCTGGAAGACCCCTTGCCCTTCACCATGTGTGTGACTCCACAGAGAAAGGAAGGCCACGTGCACACATGTGTGATCCTGGAATGCTCTCCAAAGAACAGAGGCACAAGGCCACAGGAAGCATCCGTGCCCACCCTTCTCACGTGGATGAACTGGAAAGATCCAGCAATACTAACTCGGAAACTGGGGGATTAAGCCAGGAAGAGGCACAGTACAGTCGCTCTAGCAAATCCCAGACATTTCTCTCACCTCCTCTGACTGGCTGGTCTTTCTCCTCTTCCCAGCACCATCCAAGTCCTTTTCCTTCTTGTCCTACACCAAGAACAGAGGGAAATCGCATTCCTCCACTCTCCGCACCTCACCTCTAGCTCTGCAGCTGGAGGAAATCCCGCCTGCTTACCTTGGGGGAGCGCTTCCGAGAAATGGTCTGCCCGAGTTTGCTCAGGAAGGAGATAGGGGACTTGGTGCTGGCTATTAGGACAGCCCTCTCCTCCGCGTTCAGGTCTGAGGCATCTGCGGGCAGAAATTAGCAGCATTCAAGGACAGCCGTGAAGGCGCCTCCCCGCAGGAGGGCCAGGGTGCTCTGAGCCGAGCAAGAACTCCAGAGAAAATGCACACAGAGGCCTGCACGTTAGGTCTTTTCTTCTCCATGCAAATAGGACCAACACCTGCCCCAGTCAACTTCAGTCACAAAATCCCCCGCTTCGGCTTTTCAAAAACTGCAATCTGCCTGTGCATGTGGGTCACAGCAGAGTGCCAAAGCCCCACTTTGAGGATAAAAAGTTGAGGCAGAGACAGAACGGGAGAGACGTGGGGAAGACAAGGTGCAACCCAGGGCATCGTCATCGTTCTGGGGCGTGCATACACCTGTACTTAGCTTCACCTGGAGGTGGGACTCTCCCTGACGGGCATACTGATGTTAGAGTTGTGTATTTCTATTGCAAGAACTGTATCTCTAACAAGAAAAAGCCTGAAAGGTCTACAAGTGCATGGCTAGAAAACACTGGAGAATGGCACTTCAAATCTGTGGATACCAACGTTTTATTAGTAACAACAGTAATGCTGAGATAATAACTGAAATTAATAATACACAACTAACATTTATGTAAGTGCTTCCATCCACCATACACTCTTCTCAGCATTTCACAATCTAATCATATACACATTGCCCCCATTTTATAGAAGGGGAAACTGAGGCACGGGGAAGTTTAGTGACTTGCCTCCAGCTGAACAAGGGGAGGCAAAGGGGTGCAAACCAGGTCAGGTACCATGGTAAACACTCATGAGCATCATGACGCTTACTTCATCTGTTTCCCAACAGCCTGAGGGCCAAGGGAAGATTTCTGGAAACACTAAAAGGCAGGAGAATAAAGAGCAGCCAAAGAAGGAACAGTTACAGAGGAATGAGAACGAGGCAAGTGTGGTCCAGGATCACAGAAGCCAAGAGCAAGACAGAGTTCCAATGGAACAGACATTGTTCCAAGCACTGAACAATGCAGAACAGCCAAGTGCCTGAGAGGTGAGAAGGGGGAAGGATATGCATTTGGTGATTCTCCCTGACCACAGAGAACAGTTTGGGCAGAGCAGAGAGGCTGGGTTGCAAAGTGCCACAAAGATTGGGCAGTGAAGAAGCCCAGGTCACAGCAAAAGCATTTTTCAAAGAGGCTGGTTTGGAGAGAAAGGGACAAGACTCTGGACAGGAATGCTCATGGACTCCACATTCGCAGGCGTGCTGAGCAAGAGGTAGATCAGAAGGAGGGCCTGCCAACACCGGCAAAGAAATGGGTCTGATGGCGGCGGGGCACGGGGAGCCACCCAGCAGCCCCAGGGACCCTTACCTCGAGAGGGGAGCGAGTCCTTGAACATCTCGTAGAACTGGGTCAGGTACATCACCATGGACAGCTTGTCCGGCTCCCCCACAGAGGCCATCTCTCTGCCTGTCATGATGGGAGAAATGCCCAGCTCTTTCTCAGCAATATCGAAGGCCAGCTGGTTATTCTTCTCCACATTCTGCTCATCCAAAGAGTCAAAATCTCTGAGGAACAGGATGAGAAAGACATGTCAAGACCACGCTTGACAGAGCCCCAGACCAGAAAACACCGTACCATGGAGTAGTCAGTGCAAAGCCAGGGCTCAGGACCACACTGAAATTGGACAGCAAACCTATCTCACTTCTCAGCTTGCTTCCTCTTACCAATAAAATCAAATCATCCTCAGGAGGAACACAGGATTAAAGATCTACCCACAAATGACAAGAGGGAAAAGTTGGAAAACAAAACATTTCTCCAATAACGTAAACTTCTTACTAAAATGGAGGCTCAAGAAAATGAGCTGTTTTTATTATGTTTCCCCTGCACCTGCATGTGGTCTGCGTGTATTAACCTCATGCTCAACAATGAACAGGTCCTGTTTGGATGAGGCTGTGTTTAAAAAGCCTGGAGCCATCACCCCCGTGTCCATGGATCTGACAAGCTGTTGACGGACTAGGTTGGCTCTAGTGAATCATACTCGGCCTTCTGCTCACAGGGAAATTCCAAAACTTTCCTCAAAAGGTTGTTTTATTGCTAAGTCCCTGAGTTTCCCTAAGTACTTAGATTAACGAACATTTCCCACTGGGTTTCAGGCTTCCTGCTATTCAGTCAAGTAAAGACTGATAGCTTCGTGACTTCAGCCTAACTGAGCAGGCCTTATTTTATGTTAACCTACTGACTGTGTAACTGTTTCATTTTCTGAATTCCTTTACTCTGTATATTAAGCCTACTAAACTATGGAGGCCTCATCCTCCGTGAAGTCACTACAGCCTGAACAGTGCCAAGTTAACAACTCCAGGCTCTGTGTGCATCAGGAGGAAACCCCCAGGCCCCTGGAGCATCTTCGGTGCATCCAACAAAAGCGCGGCCCCACCCACCGGCCAGGCTTCCTCCAGCGCTTGTGACCCCAGCCCTTCGTCCTGCTCTTCCCCTGGAGCAGACGTGACTCGCCTGGCCCTCGTTTCAGCACTCCTATGCCGTTACCACAGTCGTCCTCAAGCTGCCCCCAGGAGAGGGTGACTAGGGCCTACTTCCGCTCGCTTCATATCAGCCTCCGCACGAGCCAAGGACCGGGCGCCAGAGGTCACTTATCCAAGCCAATCAGAAATCCCCATTTCTAAACACCAGGTGAGGCTGCTTTATTAACATAAATGGGAACTAGGTCTTTCAGGATTCCTTAGGTAATCGTTAAAATAAGACAAACACAAAAATGGGCCGGTAAGTGGACCTAATGATGAAAGGACAGACGGTCAAAATAACCCCATGTGCTCTGCTTGTTTCTGAATCTTCCTGTTTGGCTTCCACGGTAAGGACTGCCTGCAGGGGCAGCTGGGTGCCCCAGGCACCAGCTGACCTGGGTCGTCCTGCTGGGCTAGTACAGGATGACCAAGAGAGGAAATGGCACCACACAGTGAGGTAAGGCCACCTTAGTGTCATGGGCTCGACACTCGCCAAAAGTGCGGGAGACAGAGACAATGCGGGCCAGCCCCGCTTAACGGGGCAGTTGCTCTGCCACGAGGGACACACATGCTCCGGGCCCCACCCAGCCAGGCTTCCTCGTGATCAGCAGCACCAGACAGAGAGCTGGCTGCATGCAGAGCTCGGCCTGGGGCCAGGAAACAGGGTTTCCCTTCATGGGATGTTAGCAGGCTCAGGGGGTCCACCTCGCAAGCATGGAGACTTATACACTCAGCTGGTCACTACTGCTTGGGCTGAGCTACAGAATGCCTGAGAGACAGAGCTTTAAACACCGCTACATCAAGATCAGTCACAACCTGCAGAGGAAGCATTGTGCTACACGTCCCATTCTGGAAAAAGGCCACCTGAGCGAAGGGAATACAGATGGGGCCAAGCCTGGACTCACATCAGGTCAGGGCGGTATCGGTGTATGATGGCACACAGGGCCAGGCCGCTCTTCCACGACATGGTGAGGTCCGTCACGTTCACCCCAGCATAGCCGTCTGTCTGCCGCTGGCACCAACCCAGCAGCTTGCTGGAACGAGCCACAGACTCTGGAACAATAACAACGTTATTAGTGGAGGTGTGGTCACCTGGGAGCCTTGAAACCAGTCTGAAAAAATACTGAAGGCAGAACAGCTGCCACTGGTTTTCAAAACTAAGAAGCTATTTAACTGGTATTACATAATTTTTTTTTTTTTGGCTACATGGTGTGGCTTATAGGATCTTAGTTCCTCAACAGGGGCCGACTGAACCTGGGCCCATAGCAGTGAGAGTGCAGAATCCTAACCACAAAACCCCCAGGGAATTCCCATGAAGTTTTAGGTAGGCAAGAAACTCCCAATTTATCCAGACTCTGAGGTCAACGTCCATGCCCGGGACAGATGACAGACTACCAGCGGGTGACCTGGACCCAAGCACGCTGAAGCCCAGCGTCCCCGCGGCTCTCTAGGACAGGGATGCAGAGGGAATGACCACTGCTGAGCTGGCACCCTCACACCAGCGGCCCTGAGATCTCCCTGGAGAGTTGGCAGCAGCTAGGGGAGGAAACGCCTTCCCTCCGAAGCAACACTTGGAGGACCCAAGAAGAAAGGTTCGGTCCTGCACTTTCCAAGTGCAAGCAACTCCGCAGGATCACACAGGCGAAGCCAAGGACCCCAGAACAGCAGGCTAAGCCCTCAGCAAGACAAGCCGTCATGCCCTGAAACACTCAACACAGAGACAACACACATCCTGGGATGTTTTCCAGTCACTGATGTGTCTCCTAAAACATGAAAAGCCATTTAAAAACCTGTTTTTCATAACTGTGTCAGAAGAGCCCTGACATACAGCATTTAGAAGAAGCTGGTAACTCCTATCTGTGTCCAAGAAGTCTGTTCCTTACCTTAGGCAGCTGAAAATATTTAACCTTGTACTGAGTCACTAACTGCTTTGTGAACATAAGATAAAAACTGCATTTCTAAAAACCCTATTTTATTTAAGTCTTTCAGGGAAATGAATCCTGAAATAATACAGAGAAGCACTGCTGGTGTCCTCGTCTAAATCTCTTGGCTTCCTAAATTAACTTTATTCAGATGTTTCCCAAGTCTATATGTCCATCGGTCCAGTATGTACTGGACAACCTCAATAGTTCAGGCTCCAGAACTACAGTGAACAAAGACACACTCTCTGGGGAATTCCCTGGCAGTCCAGTGGTTAGGATGCCTTGCTTTCACTGACAAGGGCACGGGTTCAATCCCTGGTCGGGGAATTAAGGTCCCACAAGCCACATGGGGTAGCTAAACAAGACACACTCTCTGCTTTCAAGGAAGATGACCTTGATATTCCAACAGCACGTCAACTTCAAGATGCCCAAGACAGAACTCAAACCTCAGCCCCACTTCCTTGTCAGGCTCTGCAGTGCTGCTGGCTCCTTAACACTCCCGGCTGCCACTCTTGACACCCCGCTGTACACCAAGTGTTGCAGTGAACACCTCACTGTGCCCTCCGGTCCCCAAAGCCGGAGTATGGCACGATAGGCACCCCCATTTCAGACACAGAAACCCAAGTTCGGATGTGCTAAGTATGCTGGCAAGCCACATCCTTCACAGATGGGCACAGCTAGACTGGACTCGGCCTCCCTTCTCATCCACAGCCTCAACGTCAGGCCAGTGAGCCTGACATGGACGCAGCCCTAACTACCCACTCAGCCCGGTGCCCTTCTCTGCCTGGCTCACCTGCAGTGACCAGTGACTCTCCTTCCGAAGAACTCTTCAGAGGCAGCACCACACACAGAGTGCAGAGCGGGCCCTGCCTCTGCCGCCGCGTCCCGCAGCCTCGTGGTCCTCAGCTTCGAGGCCACGCCTCTTTGCCAAGACCTTTCCCGCAAACCTTGGCTGGCACGTGCGCTCAAAGGCCCCCCCACACACACCCCGCCCTCTCAACAGCACGTATCCAGTTTGTCTCCACACCCTCGTGACCCCTGAGACCAGGTTTCTCAGCCTCGAAGCACCGCTATTTCCTGGCTGTGGGGCTGACTTGTGTACCATGGGGCAGAGCAGTCACATCCCATCCCGTCCTGACGAGCACTGTGCACACGGCAGACCAGCCTTCGCACAGAACACACTGAGTCGGCTGAAAGGCCGAACCAGGACTCACCATTGCGGGCCAGCTTTGGGGTGGTTCGGGAATTCACAAGGTTCTCCATCTCCAGATGAACATCTTTTGTGTCTCCACTATCATACAGATGGCGCACCTGGCAGGAAGGGTATAAGTCGTGAAGAAGGGAAATCATACACCAAGGAACCAAGGCCCACCTGAGAACAGAATGACCACGGTGAAAACCTGGGCAAAGTGTGGTCAGAAAGGACAACGCCAACCTTAACCCCTTCTGGGATGCAGTGGGTCACACACATAAACACGCGTGCACTGTGGGAACCTGTGATAAAGAGACACTTGGCCGTGGGGGGCTAGGGGCTTGCTTAGTCTCTGTTGGGCCATGACTCCTGCCCAGTAACAGCAGATTTCACCCCTAAACACAGAGGCCCACTGTACAGTCTAGGACACAGATATCTTGAATGGGCTGCTTTCTCAATGTTGTTGGGCTCTTTGAGATTATTGTGCTTGGTGAAACATCACTCTTGGTGCAGTAATAAGGCTTCAGACATTCTGAGCTGGCTGACAGTATTTTTTACTTGCAGAGGGTCTTATCTTCCCAAGTCCTCTCAAGGGACCAGTCCTGCCTGCCTCACAAAGACCCGGGGAGCTGGAGTGGTAGACTCCATGGTGCAGATGAGAAGACAAGAGCGGGGGAGGGGAGGGCCCGGTCACAGTGACTGGTGGCAGTGACGCAGGTGTGCACCACAAGCCCCGCCCAGGGAGCCAGGGCTGTGCCCTGCTCGTCACTGCATACCTGCCGCCCTGGCTGCTCCGTCTGCTGACGGAAAACGCCTCCTCAGCCAACTCAGGGAGACATCACTTGGATCTGAAGGAAGGCTGTGTATGCTCACACCCACAGGGTCTGACCGTGCCTGACAGTGGCCGAGACATGCCCGACTGGCCAGGGGCTCTCACCTGGCTCGGCCGGAGGAAGTTGACGTTCACGTTGGGGTATCTGGTGACAGGGTCGATACTGTACTGGCTGAAGTTCTTGCTCACATTCTCAGGGGTGGTCTGAGGCAGCAACCTATAAATGCTTTCCCTGTAAGGGTGAACAATATGCTCAGAGCAGTGACAGCAACAGAAACACCTTTGATGATATTTCTATGTTCTGAGAGCCCAGGGCAGGGCTAACCTTCCTCCTGGATGGGGTTTCCCCACCCCCACATCAGCCCTACTTCCCATCCCCTCCAGCTCCAGGATCCCACAGGCCCCAGACCGCTACGCCCCAGTGAGAAGGGCAGGTACACTGCTGTGGGCAGGAGCAAAGCCTGAATCTAATTTACTACTGTGCTCTGTTTTGGCAAGTGCACCAACTTTTTAAGAAAATCACTGATGAAAAAAACTTGCCACCAAATTTACCCAGAGGACCTTAGGTAAACAGACTTAAAATGATATCAACCCTGAATTTCATCCAGCATATCCTTTCTCTAGTTCTGGTCCAGGCACTTGTTCTTTATCAGCAAGCAAATCCCAGGTCTTAACTCATTTGCAATTATCTGCTTCAAAATATCTGATGTTTGAGAAATGTTTACAAGTACTTTGGTGTTTTCCTTTGAATTCAAAGTCATCTTTAATTAGTTCTAAGTTAGTACATACCCAGCTACCACACTGATTTCATTAGTGTAAGTCTCTCTAGTTCAAAGATAAGAAGACTTGACACAGGATTTTCACACCCCTGTTCATATAACTGTCACAGAGGAATAAGAGAGCATCCTTCAATGTTACACAAAGATTCAGACACTGCTTGTAAGAGTTTGCTTTGGAGAGTGACAAGAGAACATCACTGAGATAACCTGTAGGTTTCTATGATTTTATGAATACCTATCTTACCGTTCTTCTCCTAAATAAGAATGTATCATCAATTAAGAAGGAGAAACCTGAGCCCAGCCTGCAGAGCAAAGCACTGACGCTCCGTCTCATCGCGGACAGCCCCTGCGGTTACCTCTCTGCCAGGACTTCCAAGGGACTCGTCCCCAGAGACCAGCTGCGCACCATCCAGGCCGAATCCATAGCAGCCAGAAAGCCCCGGGCTATTCCTGTTCCCATCGGCCAAAAAGGCTAGAAGGGGACAGAAAACACAGAGTTAATATAAATTACCTTTTAATAGAGGGAAACTAAACTCCAGAGCAAAAAAAGCCTCTGCCCCTGAGAAGACGTTCTGGCAGGACATACTGCCCTTCTCCCCCCTCACAACCTGGCAGATCCTAACCCTAACTCAGCGGGCCCTGAGCCCCCAGGTTGGACTCTATGCAGCAGGATGACACAGATGCTCCCCAGCCTGGGACCCCAGGTCTGTTTCTAGCCATGCTGCCCCCCCAACACTCTTTCTCACCTCCAGGAGGCTGTCCCCCACCAGAGCCACCAGCAGCTGGTGTCCGTTGTGCTCCCGCACCAGGGCTGCATTCTCGGAAGCGTACATGCACGTGAAGTCAAACATGGCCACATCAGGCTGCCCGTAGTGGTTAATGGCGAAGTCCAGCGACGGCAGCTGCTGCTGGGTGGAGAAGTCAGCTGCCTCCCGGGCGTAGCTCAGCAGGGCCTCCTGGTCCACATTCTCCCGGGAGAGCAAGAGCTCCGTGTCGGCGTAGTCCTGTCTCCAGAGACGGGGGGAGCTCAAGGGAAAGCCCAGGCAGGGGCACAGGTGCCCACTGGCCACGGCCACACCACCTTCCCCGCCCCGAGAGTGGCTTCCTGTTCCAAAGTAAGTCCTCCACACAAATTCGGGAAGGTGGGAGGGGCTTGTTTCTAAAGGAACACGGGTTCCTAGAAACAGAGTCCCTGCTTTTCCATTGTTCTTGGAACAAGTCACTACTTTTGCAGTCTAGTCCACTCCACCTCACGGAGCTGCTCTGGACACCAAATACAGTGACTTACGTGATGGTGCCTTGTAAAATGAAAAGCATCCCCAGTTAAGGCTGCTATCAGCAAGCATCCTCTTCTGACAGCAACTGGACAACACATGACACTCAACCTGCATCTCCCATCGACCCCAAAGGAAGAACCCAAAAGCTTCCATGACTGACGGATAAGGAGGTGGGGGCACCAACAGCCCAGGGAACCGGCAAGAGATACACTGAGGACGGAACAGAAGCTTTCCAAACAATACACAGGATTCTGGAAGGCCCCACAGTAATGCACCAATGAAGAAAAACGACGCGAGAAAAAGGGCTCTCCACAGAGAGGACTGAGAAACCCCTCTGCTCCGGAGGTTCCTGACCAAGCCTCTTCTTCAAGGGGGGACCGGAGCTCCCCAAGTGTCCCCAAGGGCACCTCCAGCTGCCCAGACAAGATGGAACGGGCAAACATGCACACTCAGGTTGGTTCGTTCAATACTTAGTAAGTAGCCACTGTGGGCTCAGGATTCAGTGGCACACACCCTGTGTGCTAAAAAAAACAAATAAAAAGGAAACGTACATCAGGTTGCGGCATTCTAGATTGGCCCAACATAATGTCAACTGAGCACCACAGTCCTGACGAGGACGGTAGATGTCAAGTCTTAGCTTGGTCCCGAGGTGCCCCAGCAGGCTCATGGGTATCTCTTCCCGATGAAACATCCAACCAAGTATATCCCATTCTGGATATACTCTGGTGGCGTGTGCTGCATCCACTGCTCTGTTCCCTTCTTACACAAAGGCCACGGGGCTGAGACACAGACAGGAGGCCCCTGAGGAAGAGCTGCTGCGGGCAAGCTCCCTGCTCCCCAGCGCTGCCCAAGGCAAAGCAGCAGTGTAACACATCACCACCCTGCAGAGATGGGACGCCCTGATACTCAGCCACAAGTCTGTGCTGGGACTGCAGGGGCCTCAGTCAGCACATCATCACAGGAACAGTAATTCTCAAACCCAGACCAGCCAGACCAAGCAAGACTCAAGAAACTCTCCTAAGGAACCATCTCTGGAGGAACCATCCACCTGTGGCTCTCTGATTCCATTTCCAGGTCATCATCTCAGGGAATGTCACACAATTAGTCATCTGGAAAAAAGGCTTAGCTGGCCCTGACTCCGGGTGAACAAGAGTCCTCACTGTCAGGCCACAAAAAGGTCCAAATAAAGCCTGATCGAGGCTCTGTTCTCTGGGCCTCTGTAACCAGATCAGCAGTAAAGCCAGAACTGCTCTCAGGCTCCCAGAAACACCAAACTCCCTTCCCTCTATAACCCCCTTCACTCTACAACCCTCTCCCAAAGGATGACCTATAAACCAACCAATAATCAGCTACATGGGAATGCACCATAAGCCACAAACCGAAGTACTAAAATTACACTGAATATTTATGCACAAAATGCTACCTGAGATTGCTCTGCACAGCCCCACGGAGGAGTGGGGAGCAGGCAGTGCTGGCCGCATGCTGATCCTTGTGAAGCTGGATAAGAGGTACACGGGGGTTCATTACCCAAGTCTCTCCACTTTTGTTCACACTTGATATTTTCCAAAATAAGAGATTTTTTAAAGTGTTAAAAACATCAGAGGATTACAAAATACACAGTCCCAGGAGACGAGTGAGGTACTCATTTTAATGACTTTGCAAGAAAAACTGATCAGACAATAAAATTTGTTTATCTTGGTAATCACATGACCTGATACATAAAAAAAGGTCTAAAAGAAATCCATGACTCACATGCAGTATCACCCCTTTGTCCAGTAAGCTCTGCTTCTTGGCGGTCATAACGAAGTAGTGTGTGTCATCTTTGTAGTAGACAATGTTCTCCAGGTCAATCCCTGCGTCAGAGGACAGACATGCACATGAAGGTCTGCTGAGACTGGGGGTGGGGGGATGACTGTTATAAGTCCACAGAGACCGGGGTCCTGGAACCCCAGGCAGGAAAAAGAAAACAGCTGTCTGTTATCAGTCCACAGAGAATGGGGTCCTGCAACCCCAGACAGGAAGAAAAAACAGGTGTCTGAACCTGATCTTCACACCCTGCCCATTTGTTCACAAGAGGGAAGCTTGGTCATCCTCATACTGCTCTGCATTTACCTGACACCCTGTTATCCTAACAGCAGCCATCAACAGGAAGCAGAAACACAAGGATGGGAAGAAGGGAGAGGTTAATCTCAAGGAAGAGGGTCTGAGCCAGTTCTCAGGTTAAGCCTCTTTGAGACTCATCAAGGCAACAGGGGAATCTCCTAAACGCTCACAAGCAAGACAGACAACCAGATGCTGGAAGCAGAGAGTGCACTACTGGCTCTTTAACTCTGTTAACCTAAAAAATTAGATGCAATAGTAAGAAACTGTCCTAGAAAACAGATAACTGCAATTTGTCACACATTCTTCTTGCAGCGAAATGTCTAAATGAATCTATTCACAAGCTACCATACAACAGCCTCATTTTTATCTGGCACGTGGTTTACTTCAGAAGCAAATGAACTCAGGAAAAAGAAAACATACTCAACACCTAGAGTCTGCTTCTCAACAAACCAGGGCTCCCCACCCACAGCGACTCAGCGCCAGGCAGGGGAAGGGGTCCAAGCAGGAGGAGCAGCCCAGCCACAGCAATGAGCACAAAGACAGCGGAGCAGGAGACAGAGAGACGGATGGCGTAAGGCCCGGAGCGAAGCACAGGAGTGCAGAAAGAGCAGAGAGAAGGCTACAGCACAGCAGTGGTAGCAATGACCCCCGCCCCGCCAACCCCCCCAGATGAGGACCAGCGCGGTGTTCAGAGTCTGTCCTTCCACTGTGGAGGTATTAACACCAACCTGTGGCTTCCCTCAGTTCCTGGAAAAATTTTTGGTTGAATATAAAAGCCACACCACTGATTTCTTCCACTTTGGCTTCTGCTGTTGTATTTCGGTTAATAAAATTTGCTGTAATGGCAATGGCCAATTTGCCACGGAATTCTTTCCGACGAAATCCTGGGAAGGGGGGGAAGACATTTTCAGAGGTGACAAAAGCTGGTCGAAGGAGGAAGTTCATGTCAAATAGGAGAAATAGGAGGGGTTCTGATGAGGATGTGGGGGAGTGTGGGAGGTGGGAATCACAGGAAGTTGAGGGCAGCTCTCCTCTGTCTGGAAGTAAGGTGTCTACCTCCCAAAGCCTTCCCAATCCAGCAAGATGTCAAAGTCATCCACAGCTAACACATGCCTGGAAATCCGACAGGCCAGAAAAGCACTTGGTGCGAGGCTCCATCTGCTTGAGTAAGTCAGGTCTAGACCTGCAGTGCCCCCGGCTCACGAAAGCCTGGCTCCCTACACCCAGAGAAGTGCCTGACAGCCAGCTGGTGGGGCCTGCCGTCCACCATCACAGGCAGGGACCAGAGAAGGGGTCTCAGGAGTGGGGACTCTGAGGACACAAGCTCTTACAGGGCTTGGGGAGGGTGACCCTTCCCTGGCTGTGAACCAGCAGGAGGAGAAAGAGACTGCCCAGTACCTTCCAAGGTATTCCTGCGGCCATCCCCGCCGATGATCACTTCAAACTCATATTCTGACACAGGGTGCGTTTTGGGATGCACCAGGGCCCGCCAACCTATCCCTGTGGACCAAAGTCAGAATGAAGGTCGTCACTGGACCCATTCATAAACCTGAAATATTCATACACCCAGATCTCTAGATATCCAGGTGTGCAGACGGCACAAAACCCCATGTCAAACACAGCAGGCATAAAAGCGTGGGGCACAAACCAAAGAAAGAAACAAGCCTTGAGGAAGGCTCACAAAGGAACGTCCCCCAGCACATGACCTTCTGTAACGAATCCAAGCACCCGGCATGTCTCATACTATGTCAGGGCCTCCTCATTAAGTCCAAGTTCCTCCAAAGACACAGGTTATACAAACGGAGAAGCCCTTGAACCAGCTCTGAAAACTATCCGAGACGCCTGTCGTCTCCTCCCTAGATCGAATCTTTCTCACCCCTTCCAGCCGCTTTCCCTCCTTATTTGTACACTCACGTTCATTTTCTTGATCCTCAGGAGGCTCCACAAGTCCTCGGAATTCCACATTGACGTGGATCTCAATGCCTAGGATCAAGGCTACTTTCAAAAGTATCAGCTGAAGCTGACGGATACCTGGGTGGGCAGAAGATTGCACAAGTGAGGGTCCTCAGTGGGGTAGACAGTCAGCATCACCACCCCAGTTCCCCTAGCCACCCACGCATGCAAAGTTTACTTGGCTGCTCAAAGTCACCAGCAGCAGGCTTTTCCCAGTCATGCCTGTGGCATCTTTCCCTTCCCACGGCAAGTACGACTCAGAGCAGATGTTCCAGAGACAGACATGGGGCCATGCCCACCTCTTGGGTTAGGTGTTCCCAGCACACGAAAGCACTGAGACAGCAGGAGATGTGCCCCTCCCCCATACTCTCTGATGTGCTCAGAACCCACCCCCGCATCATCCCTGATGTGCTCAGACCCTCTACCCCAACCTCCCTGATATGCTCAGAGTCCCCCATCCTTCCTGATGTGCCCAGAGTCCCCCGCCTCCCCACCCCCTGCCCCATCCTACCTGATGTGCTCAGAGTCCCCCACCCCTCCCATCCCCAACCCCATTCTCCCTGATGTGCTCAGAGCCCCCCATCCTCCCGGATGGACTGAGAGTCCCCCACACCTCCCACCCCCGCCCCGTCCTCCCTGATGGGCTCAGAGCCACAGTGACCGAGCAGAACCTGTGACCCCACAGGACTCAGCACAGAAGATGGAAGATGGGCCCCAGGGGCACCTCCCACTGGACACAAAGGGCTGCACTGCCTCCTGAACTGCCCACGGCTTTTCTCACCTCATACCTCGCTGATGTCCACACACCCTTACACGCTGAGAGGGGGACCCTCCATCCAGCCTCAGTCTCTTACTGTCCCCCTCCCACCTCTGGTCCACAGGTGTAGGAACTAAGGCTCAAAATGACAGAAAGTCTTGCTCATTATCACAGTGAGAGCTACGTCTTTGTTCAGCGTCCAGTGAGTACCTCCCAGGTGCCAGGCATGGCAGCAGCCCAGGGCTGCTGAGAGAGGGTCTGGGCTCCAAGACAAATCCTGCCACGCACAAGGCAGACGAGTCCACTGATGTGACGACCCTGTCGTCTGCTAAGACCAATGTGCCTGCAGGCTGTGAAAACGTGCTGGGGAACATGCTAACCCTCACTGAAGTCATCTCAGTTACTTCCCCCACTGGCCACCCTTCCGAGTCACACTCCCAGACGCAAACCCTCTGCTGGCACACACTATAGTACACAACAGAGTTCCAAGATGCCTTATACAGAACAGCCCCGCAGACAGACAGCGTGCTCCTGCAACTAGTGGAATGCAGCATCTGTGGGCCAGCATATGACAAACGCACAACTGCTTTGAAGCTGATGTTTACAGGACACACCTGAAGAGCTCAGAATAGCAGCTCCTTGATAAGGCTTCCCTGAAACCATCAGTGATGATCGACAGACAAGACTTCAGCCTCATAAAGTAGGCAGTCTGTTCTGAACCACTTTTCAGATCGGCATGAAAACAAAAGCACTGTCTGCATTAACGTCTCCTGACTCAAGCATGGGCCCAGGCTGAGCCTGGAGGGGACCAGAGTCCAGCAGGAGCCCTGCGTGCCGCAGACCTCGCGAGAACCACCCAACAAAGGAATCCCACTATCAACTGGCCACTCACAGCCAGACCAGGAGTCTCCTTCCGCTCCCCAGGGCCACCCCCAGAGCATGTGCCCTCTCATCAGGAGGGCACCCACAGTGGTACATCACAGCCCACACCTCGGGGGGCCTCTCCCTCTGGACTACGAACCACCGGAGGGTCAAAGCCCACACTGGAAGTCTGTTTCCCAGCCTGGCCCCAGCGCCCACCCCACCCACTGCCAGTGCTCAATAAGAGCCCAGGATCTTAGTGCTCCTCAAAATAAACTCATTTTGCAGGAGACACATTGGCACTTTAGAATCTCAGGTTACAGAACCCCTGGAGGGCAGGTACTCTGACTCCAAGTTGAGTGTGCTCTCTACACAACAAACACGAACGATGACAGGGCACACCGGCTTCTAGAATCTGCCTGCCATTGTCCCCCGAGAAGTGGGTAGGGGCAGCATCCACAGGAGAGCTGATCTTACTTACTGATGTGGTCGATGGCCCCAGCACAGAACTTGCCGTAGAACTTCTTGGCACCCAGACCTCGTAGGTCATGTATGGTGAATGGCCAGAGGTGCAAGACGTTGTTGCGGGAGAAGGCGTCTCGCTTCTCAATGACGACCACCTTAGCTCCCAGCAAGGACAAATCAATGGCTGTGCGGAGGCCACAGGGGCCGGCTCCAATGATGAGACACTGAAAGACACAGCTGCTTTCAGGGCAAAGGCAGAACTCTTGACCTCATGACCACCATTCCCTAAAGTCCCCACAGGGCTATTTCTCCCCATTACCAAGAAACCTTCACTCCCATCTGGGTCAGAGTAGAGCGCCCACATGGCTTCAGAGAGAAGCTCTGAGTGCTCTGGATGGAGAAGGACTTGACTTTCACTGCTGGACAGAAACTCAGACAGGGCACCTGCAGACCATGTTTACCTGGGCCATGACATCAACACAGGAAGAAATTCACATGTCACCTCTCATCAACAGGAAAAAAACTCTTGGAAGGCTCGTAAGTCAAGCAGATCTCTGTCTGCTTGAGGAGACACAGATCACTGAATACCTAGCCAAGCAAGCCTGGGTCCTGGATGGACCTATCACTTGAAAGACTCCCAGGAGGTAATCCTCAAGAATCAGGGCTTTCTGTGCTGAAGAGAGTTCTTGAAGATCCATGTTCTACAGAAAGACTCAGGCTGACACTGAACTAGTTCACATGCCTGTCCAAAGGAGAGACAGGCACTGCCTCTGGCTTCAAATTCCCTTCATTCTTAATAAAACTCTAGAGCACACTCACAAGAGTCATGCCCTTGAATTACTTGAATTCTGTGTGTGAATACCTACCCAAACACAAACCCACAGGGCAAGTTAAGGCTCATGAAATAGTAACAGCAGTCCTAACGTCATCTGCAACTTCCTTTCCCTGCTAGCTTTTCCAGCTTCTCACAGAAAGTGGTCTTGAGGAAAACACAGAATGTGTTATCCTTCTCCACTCCCCACGCCTCCTCCGGCACACGTGAGTGGACATCTTAGGTCTTTGTCCAGGCCTATCTGATTCACGGAAACTTGATTTCTCTAGATTGTGAAGCAAGCAAAAGAAATCCTTTGGTTTATGAAGCCCTTGCTTATCAACACAGACCTCTGGAAAACAGATGAAAGGAGGTCTGAAGCCTGTGGGAAATCCCCAAGTTGGCCAATACTCGGCACACCTTACCAGACACTGAGTCCAGAGGCCGCTCTGCCTAGCGCCAGGCCACCCAGGCAGACAGGACCCCAGCAGGGCCTGGCCACCTCTGTGCTCAGTGGCCTGCGTCCTCTAACAGCGTGAGAGTCGGCCAGAGCTGCAGCAAGATCAAATAGCCCCCATGCTGTTTGACTTCAGGGTAGTTCTCAGTAGCTGAGACCCCCACGCTCCTGTGTCAATCCACGGGGTAAGAGGGGGCAGGAGGAACGGTCGAATGAACACAGGCAGAGGACACGCACGCGGGGTAAGCCTGATGCCTCCCCAGGCTGTGGCTGACCCCGCCCGGCCTCACAGGCCACCTCCACCCGATGCGCTCTCCTTCTCCAGCGAGTCCCAGGCCCTACCTTGGTGTTCGTGCACACCTTTCCCTTCTTGTAGTCTTTGTGGCTGCCCCGCTTGTCCAGCTTTGCCCAGAGGGCCTTGGCTTTCCAGTAGTTAAGCTTGGACTTGAGCTTGTGATAAAAGGAGCGGTGGTCCTTAGGCTTCAGTTCCAGGTGGTCGCAGAGCTCTTGGAAGGCCTTGAGGGTCCCCTTGCAGGTGGTGGCCTGCACGAAGCGGTCAAAGAGGACGTGGGCCCGATTCGTGGCCTCGTTCTTACTCTCCTCCATGTCCCCACTCTCGGCGCCCCAGACAGATGGGGCAGGGGGAGGGCTGTGGATCCGACTGACGCCGTCACCTTAACCTAATAAAGAAACAGGAATGGTTAGCACATCTGGGTCAGTATCTAGGAACATCTTCTAGGAGACAGTTCCCAAGTGCAGCAGTCATTCGTTAGACAACGTAACGCGCAGCCTTGCCCTCCACATGCCAGGCACCGTCTGAGGCCCTGGGAATGGAGAGGAGCAAGACCGCAGCTGCTGTCAGGGACGTCAGAGCTGAGCATCAGAGAGAGAGAGGCACGGCGCTGGGGGACATGGGCAGAGGCCTCATCACGGGAAAGGGGTCCTCACCCAAGATGGGCCTCTGAGGGACAACAGCTGAGCCTTCCAGGAGGAGCAAGTGTCAGCCGGCAGGGGAGAAGCGCAGGACATGGAGAGGAGGGAAAGTGGAAGGCTTGCAAGGGAGTCTTACAGATGAAAGGAATGAGTGAATGGTGATACCAGGCCAAGGCGTGACAAAGAGAAATACTCATCTGGGGGGCAGTGGGGGTGTGGCAAGCTCCCCTCTGACCCTGTTACATCTGAGCTGCCTTGGTGGAGGGGCACATTAGGCAGTCGGCTGAGGCTGAGGCCCAGGGGGCCAGGTGTCCAGGTGGGAGCTACCCACTCAAGGCTGGTCAGATCACACGGGAGAGTCCTGGTAAGAGGACGGCCCAGGGCTCCGGCCAGATCTGAGACTCATGGATGGAAGGGGCGGCAGCACAGACAGCTGTCTGGAGAGATACAGAGGCACGGGGTGGGTGGGGGAGGAGGTTAAGTGAACACGGTACAGACCCAGGGAAGGGAGCGGCGAGGTCTAAGAGGACCACGTTCACATACCATTACCACCTAGAATTACTGTCGGGAGCTGGGAGGCAAGGGGCCAAGGTCCAGGGCGGCGGGACGGCAGAGAAGCAGGGCAGACCAACGAGATGAGCAACAGTGTGGCTTGGGGTCCACGTACGGATGCCCCAAGGACACTGCTGCCTCCCTCAGTCCAGCTGTCTCCCGAGTAAGCAAGGAGGTGAGAGAAGATGACTGAGCTCGGTGTGAGAAGCCCTCCCGGCCACAGCACTCACTGCTGGGGCTCCAGGTGGGCGGCCCCCAGGCGCGTCCCCGCCTCCCACTGACACACAGGGCCTCACCAGAGCTCAGCTCTGTGGAAGCAGGATGACCCACTATCCAGCCAGGCAGCCAAGGGCAAAGGGAGCTGCCAACTGTCTGCTGAGGATGCCAGCTGCCTGCCTCTCACCTCCGAAGCAGCGCCAGAGAAGGGACCCACCTTCCGTCCTAAAGCTCTCAGGAGGTGAGAAGCCCCCTTGGAAAGGAGAAGTAACATTCTGCTTCTCCCTACACCTTGCCATGTATTACAAGGTTAAACCAGATCAACTGAGGGTGTGGGTGGTTTGCCTTGGATACAAGGAACTGCCATTCCCCCCATTTCCCACATCACCAGACACAACATCCTCATATTCTCAATGCTGCTGTTCAGTCGCTCAGGCATGTCCGACTCTTTGTGACCCTGTGGACTACAGCACACCAGGCTTCCCTGTCCATCACCAACTCCCGGAGCCTGCTCAAACTCATGTCCATCGAGTCGGTGATGCCATCCAACTATCTTCTCCTCTGTCATCTCCTTCTCCTCCTGCCCTCAATCTTTCCTAGCATCAGGGTCTATTCCAATGAGTCGGCTCTTCACATCAGGTGGCCAAAGTATTGGAACTTCAGCTTCGGTCCTTCCAATGAATATTCAGTGTTGATTTCCTTTATGAATGACTGGTTTGATCTCCTTGCTGTCCAAGGGATTCTCAAGAGTCTTCTCCAGCACCACAGTTCGAAAGCATCAATTCTTTGATGCTAAGCCCTCTTTTTGGTCCAACTCTTACATCCATACATGACTACTGAAAAAACCACAGCTTTGACTATACAGAAATTTGTCAGCAAAGTAATGTCTCTGCTTTTTAATACATTACCTAGGTTTGTCATAGCTTTTCTTTCAAGGAGCAAGTGTCTTTTAATTTCACAGCTGCAGTCACCGTCTGCAGTGATTTTGGAGCCCAAGAAAATAAAGCCCGTCACTGTTTCCACTGTTTCCCCATCTACTTGCCATGAAGTGATGGGGCCGGATGCCACGACTTGTTCTGTGGAGGCCAAAGACGGTAATTCTTTACCTGACACACACTGACTTGCTTCTCATCTCAAATACGTCACTAACTCAACAACGTCCTACACACACTGCTAAAAACACAGCCTTTCCCAGTGCCTCTGTGGCCAAGAGTTCAGCAAGAAATGGAATTAACTGGAACTAACCTTCAGTTTCCCTGAAGCAAAAATTTACTCTAGATGGAGGTACACAACAACAGAAATATGTTAAAATTTCTCGAGTCCATTTTTTTCCCTACAAGCCCATGGTCATCTTAGAAATGTCAGGTGGTCAAAGTTTGTAAGTGGCAAAAAAAAAAAAACCAGATGTGTTCGTCCAGAGTTGGAGGAAAGGGGAACATCCAGCCAGTAACTAGAAACCAAGGTTGCAGGGTGTGTGCTCCGAGGGCGCCCTCCTTGCCTCCTGCCCTGGGCAGGGCAGGCGGGACCTCTGCAGCTGCATCCACTGCATTCATGTGGCAGCTGACAGCTCCCATGATCTGGCCCCTGCCTGCCTACCTGTGTTCACAGGTGACTGGCACTCCTCCAGTCACAGTGTCTGGAAAGCACTGAACGTACCAACTCTGATCGTTCAGCCTCTCATCAAGAAAGAAAATGATATTTCTTTGTTCCTAAAGAGCAGCAGCCACCTTCCACTCCCTGCCAGGATGACCAAGGAGCCCAAGGGACCTCTGTGTTCCAGCTGACTCCAACACACTCAAGATCCTGCGACATGCATTTCTAAAAGCCTTTCCCTCTCCTGAAGTCTCAGCATTTACTTTCAAAGAACTCTGATGTGTGGGCCAACACTCCCTGGCTGGCTGTATGTTTGAAATAAATACCTCCAAAGAGCTGCCCATTTCCTCAAACCTCACCACACACAAACTCCTTCATTAACACCTGCCGCCCTACCCCCTCTGCTGATGCAAAGCGCTTTCAAATGAACAGACTCCAGTCGGAGGCAGTGCCCGTCCATGGGAGTTCACCCCAGGTCACTAATGACAGCAGATAAGTGGAGGGAAGGTGGCTCCTGGGACAGTGTGACAGGCAGCCGAGGTAAGACTACACAAGACCAATTCCCTCGGGCTGCCTCAGCTTTCCTCCTCAACAAGCCAGGAGGCCGCAGCAGACACTCCAGTGCCTGTTCTGCAGCTCTGCCGGCACTGCCCAGCACTGGTCCACGCTGACGGCCGCTGGGCCGATGGCAGAAGGCCCTTCCACCGTCGCCCCCATGCCCTCATTCCTGAAGGTCAAGCCTAGGTCGTGCTTCTCCCAGCCTCTCCTGAACCACCCCATGTGCTGTGTACGTCCCAGCAGCCTGGGAAAACCAACAGTCATGATCGCAGGAACCTACAGACCTGGAAACCCAGCCAGAAGGTGCCAGAAATCCGGAGGGTTGAAAAGCCAAGGTGTGGAAGGAAGGAAAAAGGAAAGCGAGGAGTCTGAGGAGGGAGGTTGGAGGAGGAAGAAGGGAGGCCCGGTCTCCCGCGGCGGTGCGGTTTCTGCCACTGGCGTTGCCCTACGTGCTCCAACCTCGGCAGCTGACTGCTGACTCAGAAGCACATTCCTTGGCTGTGGAAAGGAAAGTGCTGGAGAGACAGCCTATGAAGAACACGCGGGAACAGAGTCTATGTTTCTATTTATAAGAGCAAGAGGCTGTCACTGACTCATGGCTGGTTTGAGAACACTCAATCTCTGGCTCTTAGAATAGATGTGTGGTTACTTGAGGGGTGGGGGAGATTTATTTTTAAAGATAGAAAAAGGAAAGAGAATCAAAACAACAAAATGACAATTATACTTCAAGGATAAGAAATCAGAGCCAAGTTTGGTTAAATTTCTCCTGAGCCTCTCCACCACTAATACACCAGCATGTGTACAAAGCTGACTCGTACGAAGGAATCTATGAAACACTCCCTTCCTAGTGCAGTCAGAGGCGCAGCTTGTCTGAACAGACCTTAGAAGGAAGGCAGACAGGAAGGCTTGTTTTAGAATGTCATTAGGAGGAAACTTAAAGAGATTTCTTCGTGTTTGCAGAAACAAGGACCAAGGTGGCCAAACGCCTTGCATTCTTGATCAGTCTCTCTAAAAAGGACCGCCCAGGCCACCACCATCATCTGTGGACAGTGACACTGAATCCCTCGCCTGGGCGGCTAACTGAATCAGACCATCTGGGAATGAAGCTCCTTGTCATCCCAACTGCTTCCCAGCTCCAGTCCCAAAGCCCTCTCATGCCTCACGGCCCCGGGATTAGGTTCTCGGGTTCCCAGGAAGCAGCTCACAACACAAGAAGGAAAGCAGACCTTTTCATGATCCTTGTTCCTGCCTTCACTCCATCCTCTGTTCTCCTCTGACTTTCCATCCTATTTAGCATCAGATGAACACTTGGCAGGATGCTATGGACACAGAAGCCTCCGGGTGGCCCTCCCCATTCCCTGGTTCTGCTCTTCAGTCCTGCCCACCGGTCCTAATTCCACAACCACGTGACTGAGCATTCCCCGACCACCCCCCGTCCTAATTCCACAACCACGTGACTGAGCATTCCCCGACCACCCCCCAGCCCCCACCGGCTCAGGGCAGGGACTGAGAAACACTCTAGTGTCTGTGGAGTTGACAAGGGCATCTGTCAGGGGTCCCTGCATGGCTGGGGAGGAGGAGGAGGAGAAGTGGATGGAGGTGACAGAGACTTCTACCTAACGTGAGGGCTATCCAAGAGCAGACGGCTGGGCAGGAAGAACAACTATGAATGCAGCTCTCTGCTATGGGCCCTCAGACCACTTTATTCTTGGCTGTAAAACAGCCCTCTCTAGAGGGGGCCAGGAATAGCCTGGACCATGACCTCTGGGTTCTCCTCCAAGTCTCCAATTCTGAACAATGCTAATCCCCAATATTGTATCTTCTCAAA